TTTTGTGGCCGCTTCATCGGTTTATACTGCGTTTTCCTTAGTTGTCCTTTTGAGTGTGTATGTTTTTTCTTGTTTTTGCCTTGACATTCGCATTTTGACAGCGCAGCGAATAATTCTCTGTTCTGCTGCCATCATTGCAATGTTCGGCGTTTTTTCTTTTCTATTTCTTGTGGGAGGTGTCATAGGGGGCGTATACGTAATGCGAGAAGTGCCGTGATTTTTGACATGTGAGAAAAAGCCGTCGGTATTTTATTAGTTTTTAAACTTTGTTTTGGTACTTTTAAAATAACTTTCCAACTAAAAAATAATTTTCAAATGAATTACTATTCTTGTGTGAATGTAATTGTAACAAATAAAAAATTTTAATAAAAAAATCTTAATGAAGACTCGAAAGGAACATTTTTAAATGACCAAATTTATATTTAAATATGTTTTCAAATATTTTATAATTATTTTTATAATATTATTAATTCATATTAAACTTAAAACATCTAAAAATTTTAAAATAAACATAGAAATATAGAAAATCTAAACTAATAAGAAATAAAAATAATATTTTTTAAATCAGTGTTTATAGTGAATATATTTTTAAAACCATATACATTCCAAAAATAATTTTTAAAGGACCCTTTGTAAACTCCGCTTAGGCCTTGCTTGTCTCATATGTATACGCCTCGTTTTTCATCCAAAAGGGATATGGGAAATTTTCATGCCGTTCAAAAACTACAAATCAACTTAGGAGCCCCCAGAAACCATTTCTTTTATTTTCCTTTTCTTCCTCTAAGGCGCACAGCAGCTCTGGTAGTCAATACATACATAATTCCAAATCCGATAAGGGAATATATACATATATATATATATATATATAGCTCGCTCGTATATATATCCCACCCACACAATACACGCTTTTGATTTTAAAACCTCGTGCAAAGAAACGTGCAAAAAAAAATACAAATAAAAAGCGGAGAGAGAATGAAAAACGAAGTCAAACGCCCCAAAAACACCCACACACCATACAATCCCCTTATAAAAAAAAACACCATAAAACCCCTCACACACACAATCGCAGGCTAACCAATACAGCCACACGCTTACTCGCTCGCCCCAAACATCTTGTATAAAAAAACGTACTTTTTTTATATTCGCTTGACATTTTGTGGATACGTCGTCGGACGTCGTCGGAAGTCGTCGCGAACTTGGCTTCTTTCTGCTCTTTCTCGTTTTTTTATACTTTACTTTTTTTACTTTTTGCCCATATCTCCTTGCGCGTTTTTTTAAGTCAGTCGTTTGTCGGAAGTCAATCAAAAAGCGTGTCTCGGAGAATCGTTCCAATCCCAGAAGGCTCGCTCCGGAGATCACCGGCTCAGACCCATCCTCCCCCCAAAACAAAAAAAAAAACAGGGCCAGCAAGGGCGTGAAGCTGTCGCGATTCTCGTTGGCAATTACAATTTATAAAAGTGTGGCAAAATAAACAATTAAATTATGTGACAGAAACCAAAAGTAAACAAAAAAAAAGCAACAACAGAAAAGAAAAGAAAACAAGAAAGGAAGCTAACTTCGGCACGCCGAAGTTTGTATACCCTTGCAGATTGGTTTTGATATTTATATTATAAATTCTAATGCTGAAGACACACACAAAACAGAGTTTCATTATATTTTACCTATACTTATTATGTTTACAGTTTGACAGTTACAGTTTCACATTCCCAGCTTTACATATTTAATACAATTACTGATCGCTTCTATGGCAGCTATATGATATATTTGTCCGATTTTTATGAAATTTATACCAAAATTCTAGAACAATAAAAAAAGCCTATATCTCAGAGTAGATAAAAATACGTTGAAAAACAACGAAGCTATAATTTTTTTCCTATTCATTTCCCGATCGTTTCTATGGCAGCTATATCTTATAGTCGTCCGATTTTTATAAAATTTTTACCAAAATTCAGAAATAATATAAAATGGCCATATCTAAAAAATGGAGCAAAAATGTTGAAAAACAGCAAAGTTATAATTATTTTTCTAAAAATTTATCGAACATTTGTATGACAGCTATATGATATAGTCGTCCGATCCGGCCCGTTCCGACATATATAGCAGTGAGAGTATATAGAAGACTATATGCAAAGTTTCATTCAGATAGCTTTAAAACTGAGGGACTAGTTTGCGTAGAAACAGACAGACGGACAGACGGACAGACGGACAGATGGACAGACGGACAGACGGACATGGCTAGATCGACTCGGCTGTTGATGCTGATCAAGAATATATATACTTTATAGGGTCGGAAACGTCTCCTTCACTGCGTTGCAAACTTCTGACTGAAATTATAATACCCTGCAAGGGTATAAAAAAGAAGGAAACACCAGCAAGGAGGTGCGCCATCATCCATTGCAAGTGAGTGTACACAGAAAACAACTATATATAATTATACTAATATTAAATTTATTTCATTTAAGTTTAGATCTCTTTATTTTTAGAGATAAGCAATAAAGAAGATTTTATTTCTTAAGATCTCAAGCAGACCTATAAGCATCATTAAGTAATGGATTATTGTCAGTCAATAACTGTTCATGGAACTTTAATTATATATTTTAATATTTTTTCTATTAATAAATTAATTTAGTTAATAATACCTTTTTTTCTTTCTGTATATTAACTTTTTTTACGATCTTAAGTTTATGTCAAGGAGCTTGTCTTGTAACGCCCACACTCGCATCGATCGATCGATGGATCAGCCAGATCCAAGCCAAAAGGTAAAGAGAGTGGAGAATAGATTTTCTGCTCACTTGTCAGACTGTTAATGAGGTTTTCCCAAGAGTCTGTCAATGGGGAAAAGTCCTTAATTGGCCATGTGTGTTTGAGGGCCAACAAGTGTCCCGATATGGCTGACGGTTTGAGTTGAACAGGAGAGCCAAGTCGATGAAAGATTTTTAGGCAGACTTTCTCTATTCTCAGAGTTAAATATAATAATTTAAAAACTATTTTAAGTTAATATTGTTTCCGTTCTTTATAATACTTTCAAACCAATCAAGATAGTGAATGTTATGCATTTTATGGATAGTTTTATAAGCTCTTAACGGCCACACTTCTATAAATGATTCCAATATAATCACAACAAACAAATGCGAGTCAATCACATCATCAAACTAAGTTCTCCAGCCCGATATCTTTACAACCAAACTGTGTACGGGGCCCAATGGGTGGAAATTATGAAAACACAAATTCCAAATTGAAGACAAACAATCGCAATGTTCGGTATTATACGATACGATCCCGAAACTAGAGTAAGCAATTGTGTTTAATTTTAAAACAAGATAAAGCCGAACGGGCCAAAATAGCGAAAGCCTTTGATATCGGGGCAATAATAAGAAATAACCAGCTCGATTTGGAATTATTGAAAGTAGTCATTCGACAGAAAGGCGACTGCATTTAGACGACTTTCGGTGCCGACTTTGATGTGGCCGGCAAGCAGGCATATCGATATTCTCGGCAATTGGTTGCTGACATGCAAAGAACATAATTTACCGACTGGCTGGCAAAATTGATAAACAATCTTCGTGTGGCACTTTGGCTGTGGGCCAATTTGCCGTCGATACCTGACAACTCAATTGATTTGTTTACAAGTGCCATTAATGTTAGTTACCAACAGGTTATAGCGGCGTATGTAAATGCCCCACATATGCCCCTCTGTCTATTTCCCTAAACTCGTTGCACTTTTCAGCGCCGCCATATCTTATCTATCGTGTCGTTCGGGGCATTTGATCGTCGTCAGAGTCATCGCCTTCATGTATTTAGTTTTCCATTTTCATTTCCTTTGATTTCATCGACCGCCGGAAAGTAATACCTTATCACAAACTGACTCGAATTTGTTTTCAATTTACAACAATTTCGTTTTTAGGTAAATATCTCGTCTGTCACTTGCCTTTTTCCTGTCCCTTTTGGTTTTGTTTGCATAAAACAATTCAAAGTTTAGTTTTTTACTTTTTTTATAGTGCCTTTTATGGTTTCCACTGTTGTAAAGTTTTATGGAAGCATTTTAGAGTTGTGGGAGCTGATTTTACGCGGCATGGGAAATTTTAAAACTAATTTGTTAAAAGGGAAATTGTACATTATTAATTATCTTTTTCATATTCTTTTTATTAGAAAATGTATTCAATTATTCCTAGTTTTAATTTAATTTTATTAAATAGATCAAATTTATTCTTTAAGAAAGTATTATAAAAGGTGAAAAGGGTTTTATTTTAAAAGCAAAAATCCTAGACCTACCCTACGTGACTTCCACTGCGTACATTTTCCAATCAATCTCCTATAAAAATATAAACTAGCTAATCGCATAACTCACAGCCGATATGCGCCGATATACTCATGACTCTGTCAATAAACTAAAATTAGTAATCACGGTAATAAAGCTTTATGCAAACATCCGAGTTTCAATTAAAACAAATTCACTGTTTCCAACTTGCAACGTGATCGAAAATATATATAAAATCAGGTGAGAAAGTCACGTTGAATTAAATTTGTAGAAAATCAATTAGTTTTGTTATCGCAGTAATAAATATTGAGTTGCATTTAATAACAGCTTCTTAAATTGCACTTAGCAGCAAAAGAAGACATTTTTAATTATTTATAATAATATGGCAAGGAAAAGGAGACAGTGAGATACAGTTGTTGTTAAAGTAATAAAAGTACAAAAATATAGAATACAATAAAAATTAATAATAGAATAAGTTAAAATGTACATATTTGTACCAAAAATAGTACCCAATAATCCACAGACATTTACAAAAAATATACCTTTAAATATTTCCAGTGCTGCTTTCTTGACCGCAGCTGTCCATGGGTCAATATCATAATCTGAGACAGCAACCGGAGCGCAGCGGCAAACAAGTCGCCACAGGCAGCAAGGAGCAGTTGAGTCTCCCATAAATCAAAGCGACGCAATTTGCTGCTGACGAACTGCAACATCGGCAACAAGAGCAACATCACCAGCAGCAGCAGCAGCAACAACTATGCCATTACTGCTGGCAACAACACTTGGCAACAATTCCCATCATCAACACTTGAGCGCAGCAGCAGAAGCAGCAACAGCAACCGCAGCAACAACCATGTTGCTGACGTCGCCAACAGCAGCAACTCATTGCCTTGCAGCAACAGCCACAGCAACAACAACAACAACAACAGCAGCAGGTGTTAATGTTCAAATTACTGGCAAAGGCGTTGCAAGCACTCTAGTCAACGATCAACTGCAACTCCCAGCAATTGCAGCAGCAGCAGCAGCGGCAACATCATCTGCTAATTATGCCGCTAACGTTGGCCATTTGAATGGCTTTAACCCTAAAGACAACTGCCCACCAGTTCCACCCACCAGCGCAGCGAAGGAGGCTTTTGAGGGATTACTGCGCCTGCCGCAGATCCAAGTCAAGCAGGAGTTCATGGAGGCTCTGCCTCAGGAAAGGGAGCGACTGAGAGTGAATTGCCATCCTGCCATGAACCATCAGCAAATGGCAGCAGTGACACCGGCAACGTCAGGTGAGTTTTAAGTTTTGCACTTGGGTATAAATAATTAAAGGGATTAAATGGAAAAGAAATAAAATTGGTAAATATTTCTAATTATTTATATATTTACTACATTTTATTATCTTCAACTTACACCTTTCAAAGCCATATTTTTAAACGATTAAAGCTTGCCCCCAACCCTTTTTCTTCCCCGAAAACCTGCCACTCAAATGCATATGGGTATTTAAAAACCCGTTAAGTGAAAAATGAGGTATTTACAATGTGTTAACAAGAACATGGCCATTTTTCATGGCCTTCTTAACCCCAAGGAGCAGGCCTCGCCATCTCAAAAAGGATACAAGAAAAGGGGAAAGGAAACCCTTGTGCAAAAGGGAAAACTCGTGCCAAACGCATGCTTATGAGAGTTTCAATTTTTTATGCATCGAAACAGATTTTACTTTTTATTGGCAAAAGGGTCGTCGTCGTCATCTTGATAGCAGAAAAAGGATGCGACACAAGGGACCCGGGCTAATATTGCAGCCAAGGACTCGCTCTCTCCTCTTACAACGCGTGCGAACATTTATGAAGATTGAAAGGGTTGTCAAACACTTCATCCATCTTAAAGGGACACCAAAGACGACCCACAAAAGGGTGTAAGGAGGCTGGCACTCTCGCGCGCGCTTATCCTGTTGCTCCTGAAGGGGGTTGAAACATCTTGTTTTCTTTCGATTATTGAAATTGCCATTTGGCCGTTTGATGATCTCACCCCAGGGAACGCGATAACACACTCTTCCCGTGACCTCAATTGTATTTATAGGTAACCCAACCGAACAGAGTCCCCACCTCAAGCCATATTTAAATGGGCATCACCATTCATCTTCATATGTAAATCCATTTCCTCTGCTCCAGCTCGGAAATGCTTCCATGACATGCAAAACCCACAACAAAAAATCAAACCTCCTTAAGTGCCGCAATTATCAAAAATTTAAAGTAAAACAAAGGGCAACGGGGGAGTTCGGACAACAAACTAAAAATGAACCCAACACGCGACCGGAAATTAAAGTCAATTTAAGCAAATGTAACTCACCGAATGTTGGTTTCTTTGATTAGATTTTCTGTTAGATATATTCGTGATTTTCATATATATACAGACACAAGATCGTTAGCATTTGAGGCGATCCATCACTTGAGTCTGAGGCGAGCTTCCCATTACGATTTCAACAATAATTTGCCATAAATGAGCAAAGGCCATACAATAGCATTTCTACTTAAGATACTTCAGGGGAAATGCCCTGGCAAACAGGTAAATGCAAGTTAAATAGATATAGATACACACAAGTGAAGATTCTGAATAATTTTGAAAGTTAAAGTTTCTAGAAAGCTTTACGAATAAGAAAATATTCGTTGTGTATTTTAAATGTTAATATAACTTTGAATTTAAAACCCAGAAAGAACCCATTAGAAATTCCAAACTCACTCCCCTTAATTCCAATCAAGATCTAAGGAAGTAACATAAACATAGCCCCATGCATTCCCTTAAAAAGGGTATTCAAAATCAAGGGAAATGCATGCAGCATGTGCCGGAAATGCAAAGAAAAACAAATCATTTGAATGCATCCTCCTTTTTTCCCAAGTCCCAGCTACTGGGATCTGGTGAGAACACTAGGCTGGGGTAAGAACAAAAGGGAAACGACGTTAGGAGCTCGAAGATTTCTCATTCAGAGAGCCGGGGTCTGGATTTATCTCGCCAATCTCCGCCAGAGAAAGATGAACTGTCAGTCGGAGAAGCTCAATGCAGCGCCGCATGAATGAAAATAATTATGATAATTGCAACTGCCACGAGATCGGATGGGATTCGAGTAGGAATATAGGGTCTTCTTGAGTTCCCTAAACTAATTGTAGGCTCGCTGGCAACGTCTTGAACCGCAGAGTGTGGAGGAAAACTCAATAAATCCATTGTTGCGCTTAATTATTATCGAAATTCAAATTGAAATGGTTGGATTACCTGCCAGCTCTCTCTACCTGTTCTTTTACCTGTCTTCAGCATCATCATTTATCTTCCCGCGATGCGCGAAATTTGAATGCTCAACGACTGCACCTGATCTCTCTATAAACGCATATCCATATCCATCGTAGTTCTTTTGTTGATCTCAAAGATGCTCTAGAATATGTATGTGTTTTTTATCTATATAAAAAATGGGTTTTTCTCGTGTGGAAATTAGATCCTATTTGGCTCAGCGTGTGATTAGCGCGTCTCTTTGATCCACGGCTGTCGGGGCTGCATTTGATTTATTTTCAATTGGTTTTCTATGATGCAACCTCTAGACAGGTTCTATGCCAGGCAGCCACCGCAATTAAATTCAAATCAAACATTTATTTAAATTTTATGCATCGGTTGGTGGTTGATTGAATTGCATTCAACTGGGTTTTTCCAAGAGCTACCGAAGATGAGTTCGTTTCGGGACGGTGGCTTAACGAATAAGATGGGTTTTGGTATGGAATTAAATCATTAAAATTGTAGCTTACTGAGAACTTACTAGAGAATTCTAATACTACATAGAATATAGCTATAATTAGCTCTAAGTACCCTTCTTCTTCAACCCTTGCCGATCGCATTTTTGAGAGAAAAATAAAACCGGAAAGGCGTCAATTAGGCCAGACTGACCCGACTAATATTCCCCACCAAATTATGCATCATTAATCAATAAACGTTCGGTCACGTATGCCATGTTATGTTCAAGACGAAACCCCAGCTGACGCCGTCACATCTTCACACCTTCGCGCCAAGGAGGGTTCAAGGAATTGCCGAAGGATAGCTGCAACTTGCACAACATCTGTGCACCACACTAATATCATTTTAATCGCGTCAAATTAAAGGTTCAATGAACAAACAAGGCGAGTTAACCCAAAAAATTTCCAGAGTTTTCACAGATCAATGTATGGTAAACCCAAAAGAAGTTTCCTGAGAAGGCCAAGAGCGGCAGAAGATGAGTTGCTCGGTTAGCTTGTAAGGCGGCGTAAGAAAATTAGATTTTTAATTAAAATAATTTCGTATGCAATTTAGATAATCGTTGGCGAATATAAGTAGCAACAAAAAAAGTGCAGAGAATCCCGCAGAAGCCAACGGAGCTGCCCAACGATCCATGCGATCCATATGCGATTTGTTTTTGGTTCTGGCATTTTTTCGGCTGGCCTGCGTCTCTGCGAAGCTTTAAGTTTGGGGCTTCAGTTTGCCAAGTTGGGGCGTTTACCCATGGAGGCGGACGCCGGTCGCGGCCAAATAAAATGAAGCACATTTTTTATACAAATCGAGAGGAGGCGGCAGCATCGGCAGAAGCCGCAGCAGGTTGCATCAAGATGTGCCTGCATTTGCCCCCGCTCCAATGAGGCTGTTCCTTTTCGGGCTTCAGCTTCTTCTGGCAGCAGCTCCACCGATGAAGTTGAAGCTGCAGCTGAGGGTCAGAGCACTCACGCACCAACGCCAGACACAATTGCAAAATATTTAAATTGATCATCTCTATTTAATAAAGCTAAAGGTTCAATGGGTTGTTGGAGGTGTTGGAGATGGGAGCGTGACTTTGAAGTAATGTGAGAATGTTTAAAAAATAATTTAAAATATAAAATATATATAAATCAAATATTTTTGGACGGATCATTAGCCTGCAATATAGCACAGGCTTAATAGTATTTATTTTCTGTTGTATAAAAAATTGGAAAGACGTACAACACTTTAAGAGTTCGAAGGTACTCAAGTAATATTATAGAGCAAACATTTTTGTTAATAAATAAAGAGTTCCAATAATATTAAAACATTTCTAAAAAGGGTTTTTTGATATTTGGAACACTGCTTACAATATGTTCAAATAACAAACTAACTTCTTTTAGATCCTAAAGACTACTAATAGTCTGATATAATTCTCTAAAATTACCTTAAAATTCATTTACCATTATCCTCAAAACAAAGATATAGGAACTCACGACCCCATCACGATGCCATAACCAAAATATAAAACCCAACTTCCACTGCCGCTGCCTTTTTGTTTCCTGGCTAAGCTTGCGAACCAAAAAAAAAGTTCTTAACTTAATTTCGCAACGATTTTCATAATTCACCATGAACACCATGAGTGCACCGATGGATTCCCCACCGTAGCCCCCTCTCAAGAGGGGAATCCCCGACAAGTGCAACTGTTTTGGTAGTTCCTACCTGAAATGTTGCTGTTGGCCCGGCTTAGCTTAACTTTCCGTTTTGGCCTGCGACGACGCCCCTTTTGTTCAATTTCTGCTTGCTATGGTGGAGTCCAGGTGGAGATGATGACCAGGAGGACGATGATGATGATGGTGGGTCAGGCAGAAATCAAATGAGGAAAGAGGTAATGGGTGAAGGTTGAAGATGGGAGTGGGATTGGGATTGGGTAGGGGGATAAGGATGAGGATGGCGTTGAGGAGCATTATTGGCTAAGCGGCGGAAGCAGGTTGCCGTGGCATAAAAGCCATTCTGCATGTAATTATGGAAACATGGTTTTGGCAAGTTGTTTGCTCAGTACGCCAATGTTTAGGGTTGCCAAGTGAACTCTGTGGAAGTTTGTTTTCTTTAAAAGTAAACGAAAATTAAAATAAAACTAAACTATATATAAAGGAAAACGTATAATGTTTTCCTGAACACTTTTACATAAGAAAATCTAGAATGATAATATCAATTATTTATCAATTTTTTAAGCAAGAGTTTCATCCTGACTCTATTGAAATAATATTAAATATTTACTTTCAATTTTAATTTTTAATTAAAGAATAATCCCAGCCATATCTGACAACCCTTTCTTGTTTGCCCCAATCCCGTACATCACCCACCCAGACCCCGGAATCCACCTTCTCCTCCCTTTTCCCAGGCTGCAAGTTGATTTTTTATTACACCATCCACGCCTTTCGAATTACTAGCGACAAGCCCTCACCGAAATGGTTTACATAAATGGAATTAATGCGATCAGGGGCCGAGGAGGCGGCGACCAGAGACCCAGAAGAGAGCGAGAGCCAACGCTAGAAGATTACAAATGAAGGCTAATTTGACTGGTCCATTGTGCTGGGCAAGTGCAATTATAAGATATAGCGAGGAGTACAGCGTCCCGGCTAGAGTTTCCCATCTAGCCAAAGAGGAGATTTCGCAATTTGGTTTGCTCAGAGAGACGGCAGACCACCGCCACGATCAGTTGTGTGATGTAGGTACACGGGGCAGCACTTTGCATTTCCAAGTGAGCACAAAAGCCATTAAATTAATGATCTATCTGGATTTTTACGACCTGCTAGGAGTCAGTGGGATTGCGAGGAGGAGGAGGATGGATTCCCTGCTGCGAGGATACGGAGGCAGCAGGATCATTTACCTGCCGTTCGGCCAGCTAATAAGAGACCTGGCGCCGAAAATCCATAACAAATGCATGAAAATCCGTTAGGCCGCCGCTCGGACGCCCGAGATAAGCCCAGAGATCCTTAAGCAAATATATCCCTCTATACATATATCCTTATTTCGTATGCAGCCTGCACGGTCGAAGCAACGGTTTTGGCTTCCTTTTTGACTTTTCTCTCGCTTTCCCCTCACGTTTTTGTTCTCCGAGGAACTCTCAAGTGACGACTAATGATAGTAAAAACTGTTTTTCTTTTCGAGAAAACCGTTTTTCGGCTGAAGCCTTCAGTTTCTGCACCTTTTCCCAGTGACCCGGTGACTTTCTTCTTGTTGCTTTCCATTGTTAGACCTTTTGTTTAAACGAAAATGCCATTAATTCGTAATGAGAAAGGTGTCATCGCTGCAAAAGAAGTCAAAAGACAAATATTGCCGGTATCCGCCCACAGTTCAAGGAGTATAGTCGCAGGTTCTGCATCAAATCAATTAGTATTTCGGTTCTATTCGATAGCCATCAGCTGTTCCAAGTGGGGGGCGTTGATTTTGGGCCATGAATTATTGATTTTCTGCAGGCGGAAGATGGCCAAGAAATTGCTAATTGCTGGGAGGTAGCTAGAACATGGCTGGAATTAAGACTTCATGTTGGGATATTTATAAAGATAAATATAAAATTATATACTGTATCCTTCCCTTAAAGTAACCATAAGAAAATAGGACTCTCTTCCAAATGTTGTTCTATTTTACATAAATTTATTTCACCAAACCACACACTTCTTTAAAGGATTCATTTCCGTGCCCAGCTTACAGTTGAAAGCCTCACTAAACTCTGGCATATTACTGAGCGTTCCCTGGACCCGAAACTCATCGTAGGCATGAACATCGGTCTTCAGTCGCCGGATCTTCTCGCCACTGTCCTTGCCATTGCACCAGGTCTGGGCAAACTTCACGAAGAACAACTGCTTGTTGGTGAAGTTCACACCCCTCAGGGGTTTCTCCGACCAGGTCTTGTCGCCCGACTTCCTCTTGTAGGCATAGTACGCCATCCGGGTGCCCACATTATCCGCTATATTATCACCGGAGGTGAGAGTGCCATTCGTCTGGACGCCCATAAGAATGAACTTGTTGTACTGCGATTCCAGGCAGCGATACCGTTCCTTGAAGTTTCTCAGCGAGGCCGAGGACCACCAGTTGATCTTCTTGCCATCGTAGTTGTACTGGTAGCAATAGGAATCGAAGCCATGGGCCATCTCATGGCCTATGATATTACCCACGCCGGCGTACTTCAGGACATCGGGAAAGTCCAAATGATAGAAGGGCCACTGGGCCATGCCGATGGTGATGAAGGCCAGGTTGAGAAAGTCCGCATAGTAGGCATTCACTGTCCTCGTAGGCATCAGCAGGGGAATCAAGGCCTTGTCCACCGAACGCAGTCGTATCCGGGCTCGACTTCCCTCCAGGATGCACAGGTTTTCGTACCAATTTCCTGTCATATTGATATCGTTGTACACCTGATCGATCACCTCACGATGCTGCAGATCATCCGTATAACCCACTAGAACGTCCATAGAAGCTAGCTTGGTCTTGGCCTGTGAACGGGTCTCGTCATCCAGCCAGGTGTAGTGCTCCAGGAGATCGTAGAACGTGTCCTTGATGTCTTTAGCCACACTTAGTATATCAGCACGTCGTTCTTTGTCGAATACCTTGCCGATAAACCAAGGTAGTAGAGCGTAGTTGAAGTACGTCTCCGTCAAAGAGCGACACTCGCTGGGCACTCCCCCGGTTTTGGTTTGCGTTTTCCACAGGCCATAAAACTTGAGCAGTTCCCGCATCTTTACATAACTTTTTAGAGTTTCCAGATGAGTTTCCTCTAGAAAATAAACCAAATCATTGACATTATCCAGCTGATTGAGCACAGGCCAATGCAATTCCTGGCTGCCATTGAAGGCAAGATCAAAGAACCGAGTCCAGTTCAGGCGATCGTGCTTGTGTTTGGCCAGGAAATCCTTTAGATTCAACTGTTCCGTTTCATTTCGTGGTTTGGTTATGGAAGTTAAGTTTCTTTCAAATTCGGTCAGGTTCTTAAAGTGCTCCAAAAACAGTTTAGTTTTCTCTGCACTCGAGTCCAAGCCAAACTCTCTGGTCATGTTTTTAAGCTGCTCTTCGCTTAAGCTAGCCAAGACCTTACTGGGAGGTGTCAAAAGAACATCAAACTTCCTCGAGGAAGTGCTGTAGTGAACTTTCAAAGGCAGCAAGGGATAAATGTCGTACTTGGACATGAAATTGATGTACAACCAATCAAACGTGGCATTGCTCTCCTTGAGACGATCCTCGTCTAGATCCTGAAAGAACTGATAGCCCAGCGACAGGTTGGCCTTGACCTCCACACAGCTGGCATAGAATTGTTTGGCTTTAACCTCCGCCGATCTGGTGCCATTCACACCCAGGTCTTCCAGCTCCCTTTTGGTGGCATTTTGTAGAAAATCCAGTACCCTCTCATCGATTTTGTGCTGAATGGCATGGAGAAAGCTTGTATTCCTGGCCTGTTCCGGCACTAATTCGGCCTTCTTCCAGCCGCCGCAGCTAAACTCATAAAAGTTCTCGCAGGGATCGATGCTCCTGTTCATGGCAGACAGCAAGAATCTTCCATAATCCTCCAGCAGCTCCTCGCTGTGATTGGTGGCAGGTGGCAGGCTGAAGAGATCGCTGGCAGAGACCGAAACACGACCGGCTAACGTGAGCGATATTAACGTGGCCCACAGAGCGGTGACCATGGTCTCTAAACGCAGACAAAAACGATTTAACGGCGAGCAATAATTTAATTTCGAGTTGCGCGCCGGCCAGCAGACAGAAAAGTTCTAAACTTTTTTGGCAACGCGCTTAGGCAATTTATATACGAAATCATCAGATTCAGAGAGGGAGATTCGAGGGCCGAAAAAGCACACGCTTGAGTGGCTTAGGTAATACCCAACACACGGTCGAAAAGCGGACTCGAACTCGGATTCACCACAGAAATCACATTAGTGAAACAATTTATGGTTCTACCTTAGAATTCGTCTAAATCTTCCGCGCCAAATCTTTGCATTCTTCAATTAACCGCAATTCTCCACAAAACAACAGAGAAAAAAAGAAAAGAACAGAGCTCTTATCAATTCGCTCGCAAAGAAAGCTCCCAGCTGCCCTAAATTCGGGATTTAACTATTTTATCACTGTCCGGAGATCTCGTCTCTCTCCAGGTTTTGTTTGTTGGTCTGCCTTTTATTTTATTTTATTTATTTTTTATTGTCACATGTTAATGACCCCGTTCCGAAATAATCGCCGCAATTATAATGCAAACATTTCTAAATGGTTTTTAACTCTGTGGCTGCCGGTTGATTTTTTGTTTAAAATATATATTATTTTATTTCGTTTTTCTGTGTGTTGTGTATCTGTCTGTGAATAGACTCGTTACGTCAGTCAGCTGGGCGCGATATATATTCGTGACGGGCCCCACAGTGATAGCTGTTGGAATAGTACCAAAATTCGTAATTGAAATAAGCAATTTAATTGCGAAAAAAAAGTTGGACTAAATGGGGGTAAATATAAAAAGTGATATAGTTCAATTTTATATTTATATATTTTTAATTTAACTCGAAAAGATTGTTAAAATTCTCATACCTCTCCATCCTCCCCTCTTCATATTTTTATAACCTTTTTTATGGCCTAAAATTTCAATTACCCAACAAAATTTCTAAAGCAGATCTGCTGCTGCTGTGTGGTCCAAATTTCTCAATTAAAAATATTTCCAAAGAAAAATCATAAAAAAAACTCATTTCGATCAGCCGAAAATAGAGATATTCAGCGAATTTTCCTTCCAAGGCATTGCGTAATTGAAAACGCGCCAAAGGAAAGGATCGCCAACTGCACCCGTCACTTCTCCGGGGTTGCCCCTTTCTTTTTTTTTTTGCTGGCACAGCCCCTCGTTTCACTCTTTCTAATGTGTTTGCCAGCCGGTGCATGCAACAATGGAGGACAAAGGATAAAGGATGTTGCCGCAATGTGAAATCAAAGCGCATAGGAAAGCAATAAAGAGGTCCTGGTGGCTCAGGTAAAGCAGGATGCGCGTTAATCGCCATGTTGCAGGTAAATATAATCGCACAAAGTAACAATGCCAAAAAAACGAGAGAGAAAAAAAAAGAAGAAGGAAGGCAGCTATGTAATGGCAGGAGGATCCCTTTGGAGCGCCTTCGATTTCGTTGAAACAGCTTGCCAGGCTTAGGACCTGGGACCCAAAGGATGTGCGCGGCTTCTGTATCAAATTGAGCCTGAAAAAAGGATTTAATGTTCAGTTTTTTAACAATTGCGGCTTGTGCGGCTAAAGCAGCTGCTGTGGCAACTGTGCAAGCAAGGACACAACGGCTCCCTTCTCATTCGATTGAAACTTTCACCTTTGGATCTTCATCTTTCAGCGAGAGAGAGAGTTTTTCCCCTTTCGACAGATTGCATCGATTGTAAGGACCTTGACTGGCACGAGTATTCAGGACGATTGACAGCCGGCGTTGAAGGAAAATCATTAATAGAAAACAGGAAGTCTTTCCCATAATTGAAAGTCAGCTGACTTAACCGACCCGCCCCCTATTTCATTTTCATAATCCACGGCACGCTTCGCTTTCGGTGGTGACAAAAAAATATGTATATATGGAAGGAATTAACGCTAAAAGGAAACTTGTATATTAGTGTTCAAAATATTATATTAATAAAATAATAAAAATTTATATTTTAATTAATTTATTATATGAATAATATGTTTTTAAATAACTAAAAGCCACAACCGAATCCAATTTCAGCTTGAAATCTACTAAACAGCCATAACCCCCGGATAACATCCGATTTTTTTGTACCATTTCCGGTGTGTCACAACGTCAACCCTTTCTGCATCTTTAAGATGTCGCGTGGCCAGCACGAGTCGCAGGGGTGACAAAGGGTTAAGCGCTAACTAATATTTCCATTATTGTTATGCTAAAGAATCCTTTCTCCCTCCCCTCCTCTGGTTAAATCTGTGTCGGAGCGAAAAGAATGGGAAATGACTTTCCTGCGGCTTTTGTCGACTTTTGTTCTACCTGACCCCCTCATCAGGCATAAATCAAATTAATACCCATTACATCGACTCTCTGATCCGATCTGACCAGCTTCAATCACAATTATCCGCCCCGGGCTCTGTGATTCGTGAACTTCTCTCATTATTCAGACAGTTTTTGGCGCTCTAATGAACATTTTGCGGTTGCCTTGGTCGGACTTCAAGCGATGGCAATTGTATTTGATGCTTTTCTATCTTTGTGCATCATTAGCCATAGGTCAGAGTTTCATTCATGAAGTGAGTTCTGTGTAAATGATCTCACAATGAAGTGATCATGCGCCATACAGTAGCTAAAGCAGTAGCACTCGGCGAGGGCATAAATAATGTGGGTCGGAAGAGTATAAAGAGAAGATTTTACATTATTTGAGGTTTACATGGCGCTTAGTTTTTCTTGTAAATTTCGGAGCTCTTTTTAGATATTTTCTTGGATATTTATGGAAAGATGTCAGATAAATACTTATAAAAAATATTAAGCGCAAGAGGACATCGAAAATATCATTTGTCGATATATTAAGATATCGATTTTATCGAACAAGCGAAGCACAAAATTTGTAACATAGTAGTAATTTATGATTTTTATTCAAATAATTTTTGAAAATAGTTGTTTTATTAGTTATTTTTATTATGCTAAAACCCTGGTAGGTTAAACTAAGCTAAAACATTTTATTTCTTTGTTCTGATTATGTTAATATATCGCGCATATATCGATTTGTATATCGACCCTTCGATAAATATTAACAGATCGATATATATCGATTTATTAATATATTCATCTATCCTTGATTTATAATCTTTCAAGAAAACTGCATTTAATGCTTAAAAAAAACCTAAATAATTTAATTTCTATAATAATTCCCTTTAATTTATTTTTCTAAAAATCTTCAAAATGCAACCAGTTTATCATCAGAATTTACACCACCATAAAGCACTCTACCTCCATTAGTAGTCCCAAAAATGCTTCTAATAGAGTTACCCCAAAAAACGCTCAGCACAGGGCGTGTCACTCTGCTTCGAAGATGACTAAAAACGCCCACACTTTGATATTGAACAAATGTTCAAATTTTGCTCCCTCCATACATTATCTGAAAACTATAAAATCCAAATTATGTACAGATTTCATAATCAATCAAAGTCATAAATGAATAGATTGGCGTAGAACAAAAAAAAACTGATTGAAAATCGGAATATGGCAAATATGGCGTACAACCCCCACTGAAAAACTGAAAAAAAAAAACAAAAAAGCGTAACCAAATGGGGTAAGGGTGTATATAAGGTGGAAAGGCGTATCAAAGTTCCATAATGATGAGTAATTGATAGTGACATAAACGGTTTCCATTGGCAATATGCTAGTGGAAAAGGGGTTGGAGGAGGGTTGCTGTTTACGGGTCGAGGGGTGAAAAGCCAGCAAGTGTTGATAATGATATCGAAACCCCTTTTTTTACCCTTTTTAGCCCATTTTCATCAGCTTTATCACTTTCTTTTTTTGGGGAGAAAAATCAACCAATTCTCACTTCATTTTCCGGGGCTAGTCTATAAAAATGCAATTGCTAAAACCCTTTTTTTCCGTTTGTGTTTTTCTCCCTGTGATTTATAGGGCTGGCTGCTGCTACAAGCTGTCGTGGCAACAAAACAATATTAAATCCCTGGTATCTAAGGCCCGCCGAAGGCATTGGATATCATAATTATAATAGTTCCGTGGACAGCGGCATCAACAAGGATGTCGTCGCCGTTCCGCAGATGATGACTTCCGCCTGTAGCCGCCTGCTGCCGCCGGAGGATGGTCAGCAGCAGACATGTCTGCCGGTCTCATATTTTGGCATGGAAACGCTGGCTTCAACGGTCAAGCAGCGCCAGAAATCCCTGCCAGACTTTCTAATACCGCTGCACGAAATTATGTTCCAACAACATCATTACCAGCAAAGGACAATGGGCACATTAATTAATAGTCTGCCGCCGAGCTTGGTCGCCGGCGTCTATCCCCCCAAAACGGAGACGTTCAAGTCGTTAACCCCACCGAAACCACAGCAGCAACATCACCACCATCATCATCCCAATGGGGACCACTTGTTCGTGAGGCATTTTCACGAACGGGATCGCCTCATTCGGGAGCATCAGCTCAAGCAGCAGCAGTTGCGTGACGAGGAGGAAATCCTCCAGGAGCAAGAGCAGGAGCTGGAGCTGGAGCCGGAGCAGGAGCAGCCCCAGGAAGCTGCCAGCCAGCTGGAACATAACCATCATTGGCATGAGGTCGTTTGTGATGGCAATGGCCTGGCCAGGAAGCTGGTTTCACCCACGACAGCAGTGGCAGTGCAACCCCCCGTCCAACCCAAGGAGGAGGTCCTGCTGCCTTCTAACTCGGCGGCTCCACCCAAGGACCTCGACATTTACGAGCAGCCAACACCAAACGGTCGACTTTGTCGTCCTGTCAACAAAGGTAAGTTTTATGCTCGAATTAATTGTTTTTTTTTTTACGGGAAAAGAGACTAAAATGTAGGACAAACAAAGAAAATGGGTTGGGTGGAAATTATATATCATATTCGAGTTCATAAAATATATATTTAGGAGAGAATTTGTATGCTGAAGCATAATTCATATTTTTCCATTATAAATTTAGGAAATTTTAGTTTCCCATTCCATTTAAAGGGGGTTTCCACTTCCCATATTTAATTTTTAAAAACCCAACCCCAAGCACTCAACATAACATAAGAAACTAAAAAGAAAATCCAACTCAATTACACCAGCTCTCAATTTAATACAATAGATTCCATAGTATCACCTACCCCAAAGACCTAGCTCCCAGCGAATAAAAAAGCATAGAAATTGAAAAGGAAATCGCCCTGAATTGCCAACATACAAACTCCATTTAAAATCACTAAAATATTAATAAATTTTACAAAAGTGCGAACAAAATATGCGTGAAAACTCTCCGTCGAGTGCGCACACCCACCAAAGGCAACCTTTACAACTTTATTTAATGGAATTTAAAACCACTTTGTGCGGCCAGTAGTAGGTGGTGAGTTGGTGAGTGAGTGGGTCAGGGGGCATGGGTCATTCCATACGGTGGGTGGTTGTGGGGTAGTTGGAAAAGGTTGCTTAAGGCGCACAACCGAACCACAATTGCATGAGGTAACCTTTGACAGGGACACGACAAAAGTGGGAAAAAAAAGGACTCACCACCACCCCGCTCACGGAAATCCAAAAGAAAAGCTCTGACGCAAACTGGTGTCACTACCAACTGTGACCCGGTACTCGGAGCAGCTTATGGCCAATTGAGCCCCGCCCCGGGGACCAAACTTCGTCAAGGGTGGCCGTAAATCCAATAAAAACGCTTTACAAGCTGTAAAGCTGAGATCATAAATCCATTTTTCTCTACCATTTTTTTAAACACCACCACTTTTATGTAAATGCGATTTAAATTTCTTCACCGACTCAAAAATGGTTGCGCAATAAGGGTTAGATTTGCATAGATTGATTTTAGGTTGAAGGAGTTTTAAGAGAGGAGGAGGAAAATGGCGTAAGTTTTAGGGAAATCAGGTTACTAAGAAGACATTCTTGTAGAAAAAGTTGTTTAATAAAGGTTCTAGAAGCCACAAGAAATAATTTATAAAGATAACAATTCTTTTAAAGGCTTTTTAAGATCTTTCTGGCGTTGAGGTGTTTTTAAAAATATTTTTAAAAATAATTTACTGCTACCTAGCCAGCTTTCTCTATTTAATTTTTGTATTCCGTTAAAAGTAACCTTTATGCTCTTTAAATAATTTGAAATTAAATGTACTATTAAATTTTTTACTTATATTAAAACTTGCCAATTGTCAGAACCGTTACAAAAACTATAAGGGAACCCTCTCGAAATCCTATTCCCTCCAAAAACTTTTTAACTCTTTCCATCTGCAGACCAAAAAACACAAAGAAAAACCCAAAAAATAACGCGCCAAAATATAAGAAAAGAAACCCGATTGAAGCGAGTGCAAATCGATGAGGAAGCCTCGCCGGCAAAACGGAAATCAATAGAGGATGAGGACAAAGCAGCCTCCAAAATGTCCCTTTACTTCCGCATTTCTAGCGCCGCATCTTCTTCCCTTCTTGGATTATTTATTAACGTTTATTGATTTCGACTTGCCGGGGCCTCCCTTCCCGGGGCAATCTGCCACAGAAAATCTCTGTCAATCGCTTCTACAACCCTTCGTAGAAATTTCAACGAAAAAATAATGCATTTTCTTCCGATTTTTACCATCTCACAATGCCGAAGAAAATTGCGCGCCGTTTTTTGGGCCAAAAAAAAAAAAACGACATAGACTCAAGGGTAAAAATTGAGGATCACTGTCAGGGATTACCCAAGATCTTCCACAGCTTAGCTCTAAGGTAAACTCGCATTCGCCACGCAGAGGGGTAGCAGCAACCCCTTGGCCTGGGCTCTGTGCCTACCTAAGGGTGAATGTACCCCAATAATGCGTAATTTTTTAAGGTAAAAATAGCTCGAAATTGAAAGAAATTCAAATTGAACAAAGGCTGGAACATTTTTTGGGTGATTTTTTGTGCGATTTTTCGTCTTCAAGGAGGGTGAGAAAAAGGCACGAAAAATTGCGGTTCCTTTTTATATATATTGTATTTTTTGGGTGCCAGGACTCTGATTAAGTACGGGATATCTAACGGAATTTTTGAAAAATTTTCTCACAATTTTTATGGGTAAGGTATTGGTGATTTATGTGCCTGTTTTTTAACCCATTTTGGGATATACAAAATGAAGTTTTGGGTAAGAAATACGTTACTTTTTTGGGTTTCTTGGGTAGAAATGAATATTATTACATTAAATATGTAGATTTTTAAGCTTATTGAGAGATATAACAATAAAAAGTATTATTTTTTTAAATTGAATTACTTAGTCTACGATTTTTTCTTACGTTTTAATTGATTTCCTAAATAAAAGAGCCATCTCTCAGCAGTTTTGTTATTATTTATTCAAAATTTGTATTCTTAAATTCAAATATGAAAAAATAGACATTCAATATAACTTTTTGCGCATAAATTGTCCCATAAAAATTGCGTCTTTACTTCGAACCCCAAGCTCTGAGGAAACCTAAGCAAACCCCATGCAGAAACCACCCATCAGGAGATGGCTCTGAACTCCAGAATAAAGCCACTGCCCCCAACCACTTAACCTTCTCCCATTTGCCTTGTCCCGAAGTCCAAAGTAAAACTAACTATAGACCAGAACCCAAATGCTAGTCTCGTCTTATTTGCTTAACGCAAATTGGTATGTCATTTTAATGCGTTGCAATAGCAGAATGAGAAGCGACAGGGAAATGTCCGAGTTTTCACAGCCACAACCTACCCGGTTCCGGGTTAGAGCTTCTACTCCCACTCCCACTGCTTATCCTGGGCGATGTCCTTGCCCTTGTCCCGTCTGTTTCCGTCATGCAAAGTGTGTGTGTGGTTTCCCCACAGCCACGAATTTGCGACGATGCTGCCAAGCGTTTATTTTCTTGATTAATTTCAATGCCCGAAAACTTCTATGTTGCCAGGACCGGCACATGTGTGTGTGTATTTGAGTGTGTGCCTCCCCCTTTTTCTTTTTTTTTTCTTTTTCTTCGGTCAGTGTGAGTCCTGTCTGGTGCTGTGGGTTGTCCTGGCTGTCTGCCCCTGGCAAATAATCAAATTGCCTAGACACCGCCCAACGAAATAACAGACAGGGAAAATATCCAAAGTGAGGAACTGTTTATCTTTTGTCTCCCAGTGACAAGTTTAATCAGCAGCAGGAGCAACAGCAATGCCAGGACCCAAAAGGATAACTATTGAAATTAGTTTTTGGGGGAAGAATCGAACTATTGCTATTGATTTTCCTCAATATTTTTGGATTGCCTCTTAAATCATTTTGGCACTTTAATGAGAAATAAAGTGTAAATGAAGGGAGAAGTTGTTTAATTTGTTTATAAATTTATTTAAGACTCTTTCTCTTTTCAATTTAAACTTAGAAAAATGTTTATATATTTGTTAATTAATAAAAGGTATAGGTATATAGGCCTTACACTTTAATATAAATTATAATTCAAACTTTATATTTTAATAATTGAATGTATACTTATTAAAAGTTTTGATAATTTCAAATGCTTTGTTTTCTTAATGCGACAGAAATCGAGTTCTCAAAGCCAAAATCATTAATTTTGCAGTTTTAATTAAAACACTTCAGACCAAACGGGAAATGGGCCCAGGTCAGCCAAAGAAGAAAAAAAGAAAACATAAGAATTTTCCCCCATTATTTTCCCCTGAAACTTGCACAAAACTTTGCCGAGAGCAAAAGGAAAACCAAGGAAAGTGCAGTCACAGTCACAGTCATAATCATAAAATGTATGCGCCGTCACCACAAGTCCCTTTCCTTGCGCTTTTCCTTACTTTGCAGGGAATACAAAAACAAAAAGGAAAATCCTAGGACATGAGGGTGTGTGTGAGTGGGTGTGGGAGGAAACCGCTCAGAATGAGAGAGCGCAACAAACAACACTTGTTGTAATTACTCGACCAAGTCTCGGTTCAATGGCTGCGCTGATGTTTATATGAATGGGTTTTGTGTTTATATAATCACACCGAAATGTGCTCGGAGCTAGATGGCAGGACGATTGCAGCAGGATTGCTGGATTCTGAAAATGAGTTCCAGCAGTTCGATAGATTTGGAATAAGAGATTGATTCTTACAATAATTAATGTATAATGTATATTTACCAATTTTTAAAAGGATAATGCTTCATGCTTTATTATAATAAAGGATATCAACTAAAAAATTTATATTTTCCAACGGAAAACATACTTCCATATTTTATTCCTAGACCTCTTTAAGTTTTCTGCAACTAAAATGCAACTTATTATCAAAAATCTCTTCAAACTTGGAGATACCTTCTCTAACCTCCTAGATTTACCCCCTCATTCCTGGCTATACATACATATCCTCTTGTATATAGAAAACCAGACGACACCTTCTACCAAATATATAATATACTACCTAATTATGAGTTACTGGCCAACAGAGAGCAAATTGCAATATGCATACTGCGCACAACAAATCGGGGGGAAAATAAGAGTCAGAGGAAAAATCAAAAGAAAAATCGAAGGGAAATCGGGGTAAATGCATAATATATACATATATATAGATATAGGCCACACCCATTCCTGGAGGAGAAGTCAAGTTGTGGCCTATGCTAATGCAGGAAAATGCAGGGAAAACGTGGAAAATTCAGGGGAAGGCAGCAACAATGGAGTGCAATGGAAATTCTGATCAGAATGCAGGCGACAAAGAATACGTTCCACACTCACCAACACACATTCACGCACCCGGATATTCGACTAACGGTGCAGGGTTGATTGTGAGTGCGACTCGGCAAGTGAGAGAAGTTTGAGCGGAGTGAGTGGAGTGAGTGAGTGGAAAAACTAACTGCCACTGCAAATCATAAGGCGAATGGCGGCGAGAGCGAGAGGCAGAGACCCAGTGCGAGTGTGAGTGCGGGATGGCATGCCCGGCGCACACATAACGGGTCCCACAGCGAGTGCAGCAAGTCGCTTCGTTTCCTCGGAGTCAGTCAGTTGCATTCGGCTACTCTTCGGCTTCGGTCGCTCAACTAGCAAAAAAAAAAAGTAAAGAATCATAAAGAAAACGAACTGAAGAAACGGCAGCAAAGTTGGGAAATCAAGAACGAAATCGCAGACGCTCTTTTTTCCTTGCTCCTCGTGGAATACATTTGTCAAGTGCTTGTTTTAATTTAAAATTAACATAATAAACTGAATCCAAAATGATGGTGCTACAGCAACAACAACAGCGGTGCCTCTGGGAGGCAACCACACCGCCAAAAAACTCCACAACACCAAACACAACCACACCATCGGCACAACAAACGCAACAAACATCACAAAATGTGGAGATACCAAAAATAAGAGTCTGCCAGGACCTTACAACAGCAACACAAGCGACAGCAACAGCACACACATGTGAGTTTCTAAGAGTTGCCAACCAGCTTTCATTAAAAAGGATACTTTTAACCAGGGTAGTCAAGTGTTTGGGGTTTATAAAAAAAATTATGAAAACGGAATTGTGAATAATTATTATTCAACTAATGCCTTAAGCAAACAAACCATAAAAACCAAACCAAAAGTAAACCAAAATCTTAACAAAATTAGGGCGACTTTGTACCTGTTACCAAAAAACTTTTCACTTTCTGTAGCAATAAATTTCCACCAGAAAAAGGCCCTAATAAAGAAAGGTAACCAGCCAGGCATAGACAAAGGACACCGATGATGATTACACGCCCACACATTATCCCGGGCAGAGGGTCCAGATCAGAATATATAGAACAGGCAGGCACACACAGACAATTTCCCTATCAGATGAACGATTTCATGGCGTTTTGCAATAGATTTGATGCGATGTCCTGCTGATGCTGGCATCGTCGGTGTCGTTTTTAGCCAGCAGCTGTCCTTGACATCCCACTGTGCGAGCGTGTGATCGTCGTTTTGCTTGTGTTTACATTTGCATCCTGGCAGAGTGTCCTTTTTACCTGTGTCCAAGATGTTGTCTCTTTTTTTTCTGAGGGTATTTTGCATTTGAACAAAGGCAAAAACGAAACGTTTTTTCTCCGCATTTCCTTCTGATGCGTTTTTTTAGGGAGAAAACGATGTCCTAAGGCGCAGAGATTTTTATGCTGGTAAATGAACAAAGGAAAAGCAACCAATTTAGCCACAAAAGGCAAATTTTCTGTAATTACATTTAAGCCGAAGGTGTGGGTATAAAAAAAGAAAGGAATACATATTCCAAGGCTAACATGCAGATCATCTCTTTGCCCAAAATCCCATAGATCCTTTGACTAATGCCACTTGTTATCCTGCCAACAAGTGAGGTGTGAGGGTCACCCCACTGCCAATGCCTAAGCTGGCCCCAATCCCATCGGGGAAAACCATTACCCGACCACAAGGACAACGCCACCCGAATGGCCAATGGGTAATCTGTATATTTATATTGTCCTGCATTGGAGACATTATGCACAAGATTCCCCAAGTCGGAGCGTTCTCACAACAATATATTGTCGTAAAAATATGTTACTTTTTCCTGCTGCCCGTTGTCCTTCCTGCCCACCCCGGCAAGGATACTACTTTGCTTACGCCCCGAGGGAGCTATAAATTTAATATCTACTTTGCAAAACAAAAAACCAAATGGCACAAAAAAGAGGGACTCCGAAAAGGACGAGAAAGTGGAAGGTGGGAATGGGAAGGGAGAGAAATTGTGGATTTTTGTTCGGAATTTTGTGACAATTTGCTGGGTTTTTAGGGAAAATTGAAAAGATTTTGAATTAAATATAGTTGTTGTATATTTTAAGACTTGTTAAAAAGCTAGTTTTCTGTATTTTGTGATCCTTTTTTTAATATATTTATTGAATTCTGCAATCAAAGTCTAGACTCTATCTGGAAAAAACCTTGCATAAATCCTTTAAAAATTATTTACAGTGAGCGAAATGCCCATAAAATAGTGTGAAAACTACTTTAAGCTTGACTATTTCATGCCTTTCCAGGCGGAAATGGATCCTTAAAAAGAATTTACAACAGCGAGCACTCAATTTTTGCATGTTATATTCGCCATAAGAAATGTATGTGTGTTATGTCCGAATTCCTAATGGACATTTTACGATCCAGACATGAAATGAAAACACCCTGACGCAGCTCCCACTCCCTTTTTATGGATTTATTTGCAATTTTTCCATTTCTGTTTTTGACTTCTAGTACGTGTCATTTGCATTCGAGTTTTGCCCGCGTCAAAAGTATTATTAAAAATTGAAAAATATTTTTTATTTTGTCATTGCAGTTATGCGGCACATGTCCAACTCACCCACACCGCCCTCGCCGCTGCGCTCGCTATCAGGTAAATATCTTTTACTATTTAATATATATGGCTAATCCTTGGGCAGCATTCAGCTGACATGTCCTTTTTTATTTCGCTGCCGACTCGTGTCGGAACGTGGCTACTTTGTGGCTAAATTGATTACTCACAGGGAGAGACCGACAGACAGACAGTTTTTATAGTTTTCAGTATTTCTCTTTTTTTTTTGCAATATGCAATCAGCCATGCATCCCCCTTTGCCGCATCCCCTATCCTATATTGGGTTTATTTCCTGGGTTCGGCTTAGGTAGGAACTGGAGTCCTTGGTTCTGTTATTGGTAATGAGGCATTAGGTTGGGACGAGGGGTACCTATAATATTTATTATAGGTGCTGTTGAGGGACCAGCACGTGACCGAAGTGTGACTGAACTCGTACCAGAAGCCTTCTGGGTTGGCAAAAGAAAATTCGAGGAATTCAAAGGGGTCGAGAGGTTGAAAAATATTGAGGAATTTTAGTATTTCGACTAGTTCTTTATATATTTTTTGAAAAACATTAATTAATTTAATAGAAAGTTTAACAAAATGTTAATTATTATGTAGATATTTCTGTTTTACTTAGCAGGATTTATTTGTATTACGAAGCAACTACCAATGAAAGAAATATTGAATTTGGGATAATTTTATTACTAAAGTTCTATATCCCCAAATATTTTTAATTTTCCTAAAAACTTCATTTATTTCCCTAAATTCAACCATTAATTGTATAAAGATTTTAAGCATTGTTCAGGCTAAACACATGCTCATTATTTTCCATTGTTATAAAATTGCAAACTTTAACATTCGTTCGACAATTTCCCCTGAATGCCACCCAAAAACTTATTTTGTCTGTGAAAAATCCACCCACATCCTCCCCCGAAAACAACCCCCGCCGCTATATGTTAAAAACAGGAGATCATCCTTATGAGACCCCTAGACATGCTCTTTTGACCTCCAACTCCAACTCCCTCTCCCTTTCGTTGACCCTAACACGACCCTCTTCTGTTTCGCAAACAAAACAGAAATAACAATTTGTCAGAATGTAAATTTCTGCTTTGGCGCATTTAAATGCGTTGGCCCGGAGCAATTATGTAAGGACCTCGACCCCCGAACCCCTAAGCAGGACAACCCCTAACCGAGTGCAACTAATCTATGCAAAAACATGCAACGAAATCCACCCCGATTTGAATATTATAATTTATTGGCGTCGCATTAGCAGGGTTGCCCATGCCCATCCGATAGTAGTTGACAATTAAACTCGCATTTTTATTGGTTTACACAAATTAGGCGAGTCAAACGAGCCAAGGGTGCCTAGACCTAACCCTAAACCCTCCTTATTACACCCCTCTTCTATTATGCATATTCAAATGTTGTCAAAATAAAATAAAAGGGGGAGTCCCTCCTCTACAAAAAAAGGGTTGCGTCTGACAAAAAACTCAAGTGGCAAACTGTTGATGCCGCTCTCTCAACCCTGTTTAACATATCATTTGAATAGCGCCGAGGTGTGAAGGGTTACCCCTTGCCACCTTTTTTTTATATTTGTATTTTTTAAGTGCCACTTGTTGAGAAAATCTCCCCTCCGTTATTCAAATTGAAAGGATTTGGTTGCGTGAAGTTAATTGAGGCTCTCTTTGGCATTCGTTTTTTGTTGAAGGGTAATTCTGTGGCGGCAGCGAGTAAAGGATATTATAATCAGCGGTTTTGATTGGGTGCTTCCTTTTTTTTTGTGTATTTAGAAAAATACTTCCTTCTGGGGGCGTTTCGAGGGCGTTTTGTGTGTGGCATGCAAACAAGTTGAAAATCATAGGGCTTTTAAAAAGGAACTGAAAAGGTAGTGCATAATAAGGGGTTAAGAGGAAGAGGTAAGGTTTAAGGGGGTTATTATATAGGAAGTAATGAGAGTTCATTAGAAGCATATAATATAATACACACATATAAATGCTTTATCAAAGAAGAATATTTTCCATATATATATATCTTTTAAATTCCAAGTACAGCTCATGAAATATATTTCTCCCTTAAAACTACATCTAGTATAACATCTAAAAAGTCCCGTTTCTGTTGTGAAAGTGATTTTGGCTTTAACTTATATGTAGATAAACTGCATGCGATATGCCAGGATAATTGGATTGCCAGACTCTATAGTCCTCTTTCACCATAAATCTTTACCAATGCACTCTCTCTATATATATATGCCAGGCTATATCTTTCCCATAAATCGAAACGCACTTTACACTCCCTTCTATCGGTGCTAGGTCCCGAAAAACCAACCCCTAAAAACTGCAAGAGGAAAAAGGAGTACAGAGAATTTTCAAATAGAGGCAACACTTCATTTGTCAGTAGGAACATTCACACATTGCCATTGTGCCAGGACCAGGACGAGGAACTTGCATACAGGACAACACATCTGCTTCGGCGACAGACAAAGCGGCATCACCTGGTTTTGGGTCGAGGGAATCCGAGGATCGTGGATAGCGCACTGCAGGCGCATTCCAAGCACAAAAGGATCACAGTAATGTGTTCTTCTAGGCTTGAACTTGCTCCACAGAGGCTTCTTGACTTTCCTCCTTGCCTCCTTTTTTTTTTTTTTTTGCAAACAAACAATGAAACCCTTCTTTAGCTGGTCCAATGGCAAGTTGCATTCAGCTGTAATCCGCGACTCGTGCATTCGAAATTGTAACGAATTTTAAATTTGAAAAATCTCGTGCCAGCGAGGGGTTGCAAAATTTGATCAAAAAGGGTGACAAATTTTTGGGAATACGCCTAACCCTTGGCTTGGCTCTGACTGGTTCCCCGATTCGCTTTCAATGGCTAATTTTATTATGGCGTATATTCAACTTTTGCCGTTCTACATAAAGGGAGTCATAAAAGCAGCTGCCCACATGCAATTTAGTTGCAAAGTTTGAAACTCCCGCATCGCAGATAATTTGGAAAAATGTCCTCTAATCCTCTGAATCGAGTTTAACATGGGGTTGAATCCGCTTAAAACTATCAATTCTAGTCTCTTTTTTTTTTGTAAATCGGTTTACAGGGTTAGGTTTTATGTTCTTTATTGTCAGAGATTTATTTTTACATTTTCGACAAATGTTGAGAAGTGGAATTATGTTTAAAATATGAATTAAATATTTCTTAATTGATTTATTTTTTATGATTTTGGTGTTCTATCATTCAATCATTTTTCTTTAGAAAAATTATGAAATCTGAGCTCCTTTCGTTACTCGGCTGCTGCGCATTTACTAGAGACAAAGAGGTCTTAGCTGGCCCAGCTTCCTGTTTGACTCTGATGTACGGCTATTTTTCAATTATTATGCATGATTGGGTTTTCAACAACACAGTTTAGGGGGGAGCTCGTCGTGGGTTCAATGGGGAGTGGAGGCCACAAAGGCGAACCCTTCCGCTTGAGCGTCTATCGTAGCTAACCGCAGGACGCAGACATTGGACAGGATGGCGAAGAAAAAAGGATGGGCATTCAATTGGAAGATTGAATAAAATTTGCCTTAAAAAGGCTAAAGATAAATTGGTTTAGAAAAAGGCGCTTAGGAATAAATATATACTCTTTTAAAAAAAGAAAAAATATGGGAAAAGGATTAAAAATTTAATTTATTTAAAAGAGAATATTAGTTTTATTCTTGTATAAAATTTGGATGAATAACAAATGGTTCAATTTGTAAATTGAAAATCATAATTAATATTACTAAAGGATTATACAATATATATTTTAATATAAAGAAGTAGTGTTATTGCTGCTCGATAAATTATCAATTTAATACTTTAACGTTCTCAAAAATTCGAAATCAATTTGTTCTATAAATTTTTATGCAAACTCCCATTTAAATCCAAGTTACCCCTTCGATACCCTTCAAAATAGCTGTGGAAATATTGAAAAACTTGCACAGTCTTTTGCTTAAAATCAAATTATACGACGCGTGCGTTGACCAGAGTCCGGCTACTTGAACTTCATTGAGTTGGAAAATTGAAAAGCAAACTACCCACCACAATCGACTTTTACTATATATGTATATAAAAATATATATCTTCTCCTTTTCCTTGTATAACATAAAAATATATCTTCTTTTTCTTTGCTTACAGACTGCGGCAAGAGCTTCGAGGAGGAGGAACTAGAGCTGGGAGAGAAATGCGGGGAGATGCCACAGAATCTAAGCAGCAAGCGCCAGGCCCGGGATCTGGATCCGGAGCTGGAGAACGAGGTGCTGGACCTGGCTCCTCCGCCAAAGAGATTAGCTGAAATCAAGCAGGAGACGGAGAGGGAGGAGGAGCTGGAGGCCAGTGTGGTGCCACCACAACCCATGAATTTTGCGCCAGAGGAAATGCATCAAGCGCTGCAGCTCCAGTTGCATAGCTACATCGAAATGGTCCGCCAACTGGCTCCGGATGCTTTTCCCAATCCAAATCTGGCCTCGCAGTTCCTGCTACAAAATTCTCTGCAGGCCCTGGCCCAGTTTCAGGCTCTGCAGCAGATGAAGCAGCAGCAGAGGGAGGATCAACCGCCCAGCTACTCCACGCCGCTGGCGAAGTCACCCCTGAGAAGCCCCTCCTTGAGTCCGGTGCCCAGGCACAGCAGCAAGTCCCAGCAGCGCACGCCTCCCAACTCGATGACTGCCAATTCTCTGGGACTTAGCAGTGCCGTGATGACTCCAAATACACCCAGCATGCAGCAGCACCAGCACCACCAGCAGAGCACTCCCAAGCCCCAGAGCGGTCTGACTGTGGCCTCGGCCATGGCCAAGCTGGAGCAGTCGCCGGAGGAGACCACGGACCTTGAGGAACTCGAGCAGTTTGCCAAGACCTTCAAGCAGCGCAGGATCAAGCTGGGCTTCACCCAGGGTGACGTGGGTCTGGCCATGGGTAAACTCTATGGCAATGACTTCTCGCAGACCACCATTTCCCGCTTCGAGGCGCTCAATCTGAGCTTCAAAAACATGTGCAAGCTGAAGCCGCTGCTCCAAAAGTGGCTGGAGGACGCCGACTCTAGTGTGGCCAAGTCGGGTGGCGGCGTTTTCAACATCAACACCATGACCAGCAGTTTGACCACCACCCCAGAGAGCATCCTGGGGCGCCGGCGCAAGAAACGCACTTCCATTGAGACCACGGTGCGCACCACATTGGAAAAGGCCTTCCTGATGAACTGCAAGCCCACCTCGGAGGAGATTAACCAGCTGTCGGAGCGCCTGCATATGGACAAGGAGGTGGTGCGAGTGTGGTTCTGCAATCGTCGCCAGAAGGAGAAGCGCATCAATCCCTCCCTTGATCTTGATAGCCCCACGGGAACTCCACTGAGCAGTCATGCCTTTGGCTATCCACCTCAGGCCCTGAACATGTCCCACATGCAAATGGATGCCGGTTCCGGTTCCCTCTGCGGCAGCTCCATCAGTTCCGGCGAATAGGAAGATCTGGCGTGCCTCTGAAGACCCTGTATATAGTCAGCTTTTACTCCAAATTCTTCCACAACATTCCAACACACACACACACACACACTCCATATCAAATGCAACAATGCCATGGATGTATTTAGGAAACTAGGTGATAGCCAGTCGTATCAGAAGAGATCCATAACGAATTTATGAGTACTTATAGCTCCACATTACCTATTCGTATCTGTATGCATGTAGAAGAGTTTCTAGTTCTAACAACCCCCCCAATGCCATAAATATATGTATGTATGTATCTGTTGTGTCCTATATCCTATAGCCACACGTCATCGATTGACCCCTAGAGCTCTATTTAATGTGTATTGATTTAGATGTGTATGTATGTATACCGATGTTGTTGTACGATGTCCAATTGTAAATTGATCTTGAACACTTGAACTTAGACCTAAACATCCAAAAATTTCAATAAAATTATTCCGATAAAATTATTTATAAAAAAAATATTAAAAGGTGTATTTTTTAGGGTTGGAAATCTATAAATTTTGGTTGAGAAAGTTTGAAAGAGTAATGTAAATGTTTGTTGCTCAAAAAAGCTAGAATTCTTATAAGAAGGTGGTAGCACCTTTATAAACTCAATTTAGCAAACCTATTTCTAGCCACAAAAATATCTATTAGCTATTAAAATTTATATATTTATATATTAAATAAACTGTCCCATAATTCCATAACTTCCAAAAGGATTGAGCATATTATTCAATTAGCCACCGTTTTAGGTTCAACGCCTGCCGACGTGTGCCACTCGAATCTTATTAGGCGAAACCTAAATAAATATTAAACGAGATATTTAGTTAACTGATTTCCTTGGCCCGCTCCAAAAGCGTCCGCCAGCCACGCGACAAAGGCAAACATGACCATTTTTTAATAAACTTCCTGGCAAACGCGGGCCAAGAGCCAGCCAGGATGCCAAGGGGGACCCACACCAGCACAACCCTTTTATTTTATTTTTATTTTTTCCCCCGATGTCGAGTGTGGATTTGTTGGATAAGAAATCACTTCATCTTTTGGGCCCCGGCGACAGTCAATATGGCAATGGCAGGGCGGCAGAAACCCTTATTTGTATATCGAGGCAAGCGTGTAAATCCTTTTTTAGCCATCCCAACCCCAACCCCTGAAGTTTGCCGAGCTCTGATTCGCTCACGGCTCCGAGCTGAGATCTCTAAAAAAAAAACAAGCTGGGCAAAAGGGTTTATGCCATCAATTCACACATAGTTATGTCATATGGTGCCCGCTTCGGTGGTTGATTTCGGTCTTGTTCTTGTGTCCCAGTTCCTGTTGTTTGCTGTTTTCCGTTCTCCCGTGTCCCTGTGATGAGGGCAGGCCCTGGCAGAAGAAGGAGTACGTATCCTTTGAAATCGCTTAAGCGAGTCAAGTCCTTGATGGAGATATCTTAATGGAAGTGTGCCAATAAATTAGGTAAATGATGGTCCAAGGGAATAGACCATATGGCGAGGATTTATTTGTAAATGAAACGGAATAGTGATGGTATTATTTCATTAGATAAATATTTCTTAATAAATTTATAATATTTTTTGGTTTTATTCCCAGTAGACTTTGATATTTTTAATATAAAAAAAAAACCCAACAATGCCCCAAAGGCACTCCACAAGTATTTCCCTTTAACCATATTCGATTAAAACTTGAGGTTTTGCCTTCCAGGCAGCTGTCCAGAGCAGCGAATAAATTTTTAATCTTGCCAGAAGTGAAATCTCGACCAAAATACTTACCCTATTTAATTTGCAGATCCACACACACACACCCTCGCACACAACAGCTCACATCAAACGGTGGCCAGAGCAAGGCCCAATCTCGGCCAGCACTCACACATAATTGGCGAGCACTCGAATCCTAACTCAGGACTCTTTGAATGTTATCAGTCCCGAGCAGACGACGACGTCTGTCCAGTTCAAATAACCAAGAAGAAAAAAATCCTAAGAGTCCTGAATGAAAACGGACACAAAATGGCTTTGAGCAATTTTGGTTTTCAATGGTGGAAATCGGGGGATACATCGATTGCATTGGTCATATTCAAAGTGCTGGTCAAAAATGGTCTGATAAGCCCCGTAGGCCATTCAGGAAAAATTCAAGGGGAGATTGCCTGCCCGAGATTTCATTCATTCAGCAGGTTTCCGTTTGATAGATTTCCCTTGGACAGGGCAAGCAAACATTTGCTGCATTTGCAAATTGAATTTTCTCTGTGAGAGAAAACGTTTCATTTTTCCTTTCGCCAGTCCGCTTCATTTATAACAATTTAATGAAATTTTCGAATGCGTTTTCATAATATTGTCGTGGCCCCGACATCATTAATCACCCGCCACTTGGCAGGACTAACGAAAATTAAGTTTCCTTTATGCTTTTGCTTCATGCTTTTCCTTCGAATAGTGTTTTTTTCCTAAAGCAGCATGAACTAGGGTCTTTTCATTGTGAAATAAACTAGTATATTAAAGTTATTGTATATTAAATCTCAAGGAATTTAGTTTAATAAAACAAGAACACCTACAACATTGAAATATTTTATTTATTTTTCCCCGAATTGTTTAATCTTAGACTCAATTATAATTTATATATTCTCCTTTGTCCTTCGAGGATGCAAGATAGCAGACTCTGGTAATTTCGGTGCCCAATAAAAAGTGCTCGCAAATTATATGGCCAACATATGTTAAATTTCTGCGTGACTGGATGACAATTTGATGCTTTGAATTTCAATTCGTTTAGCGAGTAAAAGGAGCAAGGACACCGCTCCGTCGATGAGGGGCGGGAACACACCCCTTTTTTCACCCGACTGGAGAACATAAGACTTGTGCAAACATTTGGCCAAAAAAAAAAAAACAGCGTCGCGGCATGGGAAATCACAATTGAATTACAATGAAAATATGAAATGAGCAAAAAAGTAGATGAAGAAAATCGCATACAAAAATTAAGCAAACAGCCGAAACAAAGGAATAAACCCCCGAAATGAAAAGTTTCAAAAGTGTGGGCCATTCCGGCTCCGGCAAATAGCTGGGGAAAAAAAGCGCAAATTCAATATTTGCACAAGAAACAAATGGGAACGAGGACGAAGTCCAGAACAGAGAGAACGACAATGCCCCAAGACAGGCGAGTAAACAACAGCTAAAAAGTAGCAAGAAAATGGAATAAATAACAGGGAAAATGAAGCAGCATAAATCGAAGTTGGCAATACCCATCAGTCTTACCAAAAGTGGTGAAATTAAGTTAAATTTTTAAATAAGGTTAAATATAAATCTGAATCCTTTAAATAATTGTGCCTAAAAGTATGCAATGAAATATTTTACACCACAAATTCTGCGTATACGTATTTTTAAAAGATTTTAGTTTTTTTTTTTAGATTTAAAAACCACTTCTACCCCTCTTATACCTGGGTAAATTTATAAAATCCTTTGCAGTAGCATAAAATTGTGGCAAACACGAAAAACGGGTGCAAATAAAAAGGAAAACCTTTGGGAGTTTACATTTTCCACCCTCAGAAAATCAAAATGGAAAACCGAACAAGTTCATCGTTCAATGGCCGCCTGAGAAAAAGGACTTTAAAATGGAAAATTTGCATCCGAACCCCCATTAAAAACCTCCCCTGCTAGTCAGTCAGCCAATTAGTGGAATAGCTTTTTTTATCCAAGGCTCAAAAATCAAAGCCAATCAAGGGCGTGATTCGAAATCAACACCATCTTGGCAGATGCGTCAATGGGGGTGGGTGTTGGTGGTGATGGCAAATGATAGTGGGGCTGAAAAACTTGATCCCTTTGACATGTTTACACATTTAATTAACTTACACGCGCCGAAAGTTTCCGGACACGAGAGATAGTCTCGAATCTCGGACCCATTCTCCATCTAATCACACCCAAGTGTAAACGAAACCCGAAAATGGGGCTAAGAAAACAAAAGGATAAAGACCCTTGCCGCCACCCTTTCCTTTCCTTCTCTTTTCTTTTTTTTTTTTTTGACAATTTGAAACCAGTTCAAGTGGTTTAATCATTTAACGCACATCATAAAAATCGCATCAAGTGATTTTTATTTACACGCCCAGGACAAAAAGGAATCCCCAAAAAAACAGAAACGAACAGCGGGGTGGATTATTTGGGGGCGTTGGTGTGAAAGGGGTGCGGAACCCTTTGAAACCTTAAGTTTGGAAGCCCAAAACTGTGGGAAAATGAGTTCGCACATTAGATAAGGTTAGCTGATAATCACTTGGGTACGGGGGAAGTTAGTTAAAGTCGTTTCATTGTGTATTTAATATAAGAAGCTAGTTGATAGAAGGTCTAGAGGTAAATAAAGCCCCTATAACAAGATGCATAACGCACATACTTTTGAATTCAAGCAAATCTTCCCATCGCAGATTTCCTTCTTAATTAACAAAACAATTTCTTTCCGTGTTAGCGAAGTATTTAATCTTTTAGTTTTTGTTTTTTTAAATACATAGGTTTTAAGCTGGTAAGGCGTAGTGTATATAATGTGAATTTTATTCAAAATTTCATGCGCAGCCGCATAATGGGTATAAAGATGTGTGGGATTAGATGAAAATGCTTGAAGATTGATCTTGAACAAAGACAGAGACAACTTAAGGAGACCGCGCTCAATTCCTAACAGAAAGTGTTGATCTGAAACAGAAATAATAAATTAATTAGCAAAACGCAAACTAAAACTAAAGTACTAATCCACTTACAATATCATCAATCTTCAGGATCGAGCGAATAGTTTCTGTGGCCAGGGTGATGGCCGAAATACTGACCAGCAGCGGCTGCACCACATTCTCCGCATAGATATCTGTGATGGCGCCCTTGCGCACATTGATGCCGGCAGTCTTCTCGCCCTGGGCGTGACGGTTGCGCAGCTCCGTGACCGTGGCAATTGGATTCAAACCGGCATTCTCGGCCAGCGTCGAGGGAATGACCTCCAGGGCATCGGCAAATGCACGGAAACAGTAGGCATCCACACCCTCCACTGTTTGAGCAGCAGCGGCCAGCTGCAGCGACATCTCAATCTCCGGCGCACCGCCGCCCACAATCTGGGCACGATTCTTCACCAGACAACGCACCACACAGAGGGCGTCGTGCAGCGAGCGGGCAGCTTCCTCCAGAACCAGCTTGTTGGATCCACGGCAGATGATTGAAACAGTGCGTCCCGGGTTCTGGATGCCGGTGATCTTCACAAACTTGTTGGTGCCACTGGCCACCTCCTCGACCAGCTCGGCGCTGGACAGGTTCTCGGCTGTGAAGTGATCCAGCGAGGCAATGGGGCGGCAATGCAGGGTCTTGCACACAAACTCGATATCCTCGCGCTCCACATCCTTGACCACCAGACACTTGATCTTGTCCAGGAAGTGCTGAGCCAGATCCGAAACAGCATCACTTAGGGAATAATGGTGATGATTAGAATTAGACGGGGCAGGAAGAGCTGTTAAACCTACCGCAGGATAGACTTCTGAACCAGCAGGACATTGCAGCCAGCCTTCTTGATCTGCTTGACAATGTTGAGGATATAGGAACGCTCCTCCTTCAGCACACGATCCATGGCAGCGTAGTCCGACACAATCACACTGTGATCCATCTGCAAGGGTTCGTTTTTTAAATAAGTTTCCTGGTCACAGCTTGTATCTGCTTAAAATACTCACATCGGTCTTTGGCGCCGAGATGCAGAACTGGATAAGACCAATCTTGGCCTTCTCGATGCGCTTGGGGGCATTGGTGCCTGCCGAGCGGCTGGTGAAGACCAGACCATCGATCAGCTCGGTGTCCTCGACGGTGCCGCCCAGACTGGAGATAACCTTGATGTTCTTAAGATCCACGGAGACCTCTTTGCCGGGCTCGGTGACCTTCAGCACGGCATCCACAGCGATGGGAGCCAGTAGACTGCTCTGCTGCGACACCACCTTGGAGTTCAAAGATGTGGAAGCGCTCTTGATCAGCGTCTCGCGGTCCGTCAACTCGATGGGCGTGGACATCTGTGTGAGGATCTGCACAGCCTTGTCGGAGCAGCGCTGGAAGGAGTCCGAGATAGCGGTGGGGTGCAGGCCCTTCTGCAAAAGCTTCTCGCAGGCCTCCAACAGAGCGCCGGCAATGACCACAACGGAGGTGGTGCCATCGCCAGCGGCCACATCCTGGGCGCGGGACAGCTCAACCAGCATCTTGGCGGCCGGGTGCAGGACGTTCATCTGCTTCAGAATGGTGGCACCATCGTTGGTGATGGACACCTCGCCGTTGCCCGCCTGGATCATCTTGTCCATGCCGCGGGGTCCCAAGCTGGTGCGGATGGCATCGGAAACAGCTGTAAAGGAAGGGGATTTTGTTATAAATATTTCTTTAAGGTATTAAAGAAAACATGTTACATGCTTTAAATATGAAGAGAAAACATATGACTAACCCATAACCAAACAGATGGACTTGTCTATCCAAACTCAGCTGTTTAAGAATATTTATGCATTTCAGGAAACTTAATAATTGTATTGATTTAAGGTTCTCTACCTAACAGTCATATAAACCTCCCTTAAAGGGTATTTAAAAGCCATTACATTTTCCCATCGCAGTCATCACATGAGTAATCCACACGCGTTCTTCTTCTTCCCCTTCAAGAAGGTTCCAGACACAGCCGGCATCCAACTGCGATTTGCGTTTGCCATTTGGGCAGCTATTTTGGCATAACATTGCCACAAAATCCTTTCAACATCCTCACATCATCACAAATAGCCATTATACACACACTTTGAATGATTTTTTCACTTAATTTAAGTTATTTTTACACATTTCTTACCCTTTGCCGCCTGGATATTGGACATACGCACATCGGTGGGTTTGGACTTGTCTTTGAAGGCCTTGGCCTGGGGCTTGATGCCAACCGATTTAGCCTTGGGCGCCATTGGAACGTTGGTTACACGATTTTCGGCAAAGTACAATTATTCTGAATCAAATTCAAGCCGATTAACACAGATTAAAAAACTCCTAAAATTTAAGTTTTTCGGCTGGCTGTCAATGTGACCGTAGTAAGGAAGTTGAAATAAACCGGCGCTATTGATGCCGCAAAAATACTAAAGCAGTAATGCACTAAAATACTAGATCTGTGCGACCGCATTAGTGGATAAGTGACTCGACTCCTTTATTTATTTTTTGTTTATTAAATTTAAGCCGGAAAACATGCCGCACGGACACTCGCACGACCACGGCGGCTGCGGCCACGAGGCCACGGACATTGATCACGCCCTGGAAATGGGCATTGAGTACAGTCTATATACGAAAATCGACATTGAGAACACAGAGTGCCTGAACGAGGAGACGGATGGCCAGGGCAAGGGTGTCTTCAAGCCGTACGAGAAGCGCCTGGATCTCACCAAATTTGTGCAGAGCGACGCCGACGAGGAGCTGCTCTTTAATATACCCTTCACCGGCAACGTCAAGCTCAAGGGAATCATCATAAGCGGCGCCAACGATGATTCGCATCCAAATAGGGTCAAAATGTAATAAATCTTACCTGTTTTAGGGCACAAAAGCTAAATTTTATTGTTTATTACAGCTTTAAGAACCGTCCCAAGATGACCTTCGACGATGCCAAAGCCAAGCCGGATCAGGAATTCGAGCTAACCCGCGATTGCCGTGGAGAAATCGAGTACTCACCGAAGGTGGTCACCTTCTCCTCCGTTCACCATCTATCCTTGTACTTTCCCAGCAATTTCGGCGATGACAACACACGCATTTACTACATAGGTGAGTTTTCATGGCATTCTAGTCCATATATCACCATACCTTATCCCAATGCCAGGTCTTCGGGGCGAGTTTACTGAGGCCCATTACCATGGGGTCACCATCTGCAACTACGAGTCTCGTGCCAATGCCGCCGATCACAAGGAAAAGGCTTTCGATGGCGTTGGCAGGCCCATCCAATAGGTCACAACCAAAAGTCTCTCCTTAAGCTAGTTTAAAAAAGCAATTTAATTGAGTATTTGTGATCATTTAAGGCATTCAATGAACGAATTTTTCAATTCCCTAAAATCTAATTGAGTATTTTATATTGCACTAATTGCTTTGAGTAAAAAATCATTTAAGAATGTTGAGTTGGAGGCACCACATCGGGTCCTATCTTCATGCCTATATTGGGCACCTTGTCCGAATGGATTTCGGCAGTTACCTCGGTGAAGAGCTTGTCCCACTGCCAGAAATCGTCCTTCTCATTGAGACTCTCCTGGGGAACCAGACAGTCGGTTAATATGGAGAGATCAAAGCCATCCACGGCAGAGAAGGCGTACTGTGACAGCAAATCAGAGTTTGCCTCCTTTAAAACAGCAGAACGTGTAGTGCCAATGCTGGGAATAGAAGGATTTTGGTTGTGGGGTTAAGGATTATTGAATACTCCACTTACGTGGTCGGTTCCACTATCTCATTGAGCATTATTTCATCTTTGATGTCATCCATATCAGGTATGACGGGTATGTCATCCGTTGGTATGGAATTTGTGGCCGATTTTGTTTGCCTAAAACGTTCGCTGGAAATTGGGAATAAAATATATTACAAGAATTCATTGTGGATACTAAAAATACGTGGCAATCCGGTTAGAACGTTAAGAAATTCCATTTCAGAAACTTACTCATCAAAGGAGTTCTTCTTGGACCTTAAAGGAAAGAAAAGAATAATCAGCCAAGGACTTACAGAGCAGCCAGTCATACCCACTTCAATCCCTTGAGGCCAGAGTCTGCCCATCCTCCCGAAATACGTCGAATGGGTGGACGATGTGACTCGAACTCATTGTTGTAAGATGACGAAGTGCCCGCATCCGATGTTGAGGGCGGCGTTCCTCCCTGGGCCTGCACATTCAGTGTAATGTCGATGGAAATGTCCTTGGAGCCTGCAGCCGCTGTCTGCAATGACTCCTCCTTCAAGACATCGCGACTCTTGGAGCGACGCCCCTTCCTGGCCGTCGTCTGGGGAGTGCAAGTTGACCAGATTAATATATACACTCAAAAAATACCACTTTTTCACCTTTCTTATTGTCATCTTGAGTTCCTCGGCCCAGTCCATCATCTTTTGTTTATGTTTTTGCTCAGCGTTTCCTAGGCAACAAGTGGTCATGGTTACGCCGTGGGAATATCGGGTTCCGATACCACCAATACCGATGAAGTTGTGCGATGAAAAGCAGCTATCGATAGCGGATATCCTATCCAGTATCCGATGACAGTTTGAAGAAGAGAAGGAAAAATATAAACAATTCGTTTATTTTTCAAGACCCGAAAATGCTGACGGACACCGAAGATGACTTCTTTTTTGAGGAGGACAAGATGTGAGTAGCCTGTGGGATCCTGCCAAAAAAGGAAAACTCGCTGCATAGCTTTGTTTCTTGGGCACGAGCCAATCTGTTGCAAAAGTGTCTGTTAAAAATCAATAATCGCAACGCAAACTCAAACATATTGTTGGACTCAGGCCAGTGCCGCTGCTCATCCAGTTGGATGGCGCTAGTGCCGAAGATGCACGGCGGCACAAGGATCTCCCCGCGGAGCCGGAGAAGCCGGAAGTGTCCTCCGCCATCAGCGAGGCCACCGTTATGCTCTGCTCTCCGGCGGGCTTCGGGTCGGACAGGTTTGGCGACAGCGAATCCGCCAATAGGCAGAAATATGAGTTAGACCGTTTGTAAGTCAAGTCCGCCGATTGACCCAGATTCGTCTCGATAATATATTCACTTGGTGGTCGCTCAAAAGCTAGAAATAATATGTTATAATTATAAATTTTAATTTATATCATTGTATTTTTTAAGAAAAAGTTTAGGAAAAATTATATTTTAATAAAAATATATTATATTCGGCTTTCAATTTTTTTTTTTTTTTTTTTTTTTTTATGTCCTTAAAAAAACTTTGTTTTAGAAGGAATTAAAATTAAAATTAATTAAAAGTTTATTATTTTTATGAATTAATCCTTTTTTATTTTTATATATCCTTTAAAAATAATTGTGTTTTTTTAGGATTTTATTAATTAAAAGTGAGTTATTTTATGCTTTAAACAATTTTATTTTCTTTTTTTTTTTCTAAAACCTAAAATATTGTTATACTATATGTTTTTATTCTAAAAACTAGATTATCACCGAGCGACCACTATATTTATATCTGTAAAGTAATTTGTGATAATAATCAACCAAAACTAGAACTAATGGTATTTCTTTATTTTTACCACCAAATTAAGGACAATTATGATTTTAGTTTGTGTGTAGTAGTATTAGATGCTTATATAAAATATACTATATAAAATTTTAAAGCTAGGCTAGCTAGTGAATACCATATAGAGCGTATTATTTACGAGGTTTCCTCCAGTATTCCAAGTCCCGATCAGCCAGAAACGATAGCTCTGCGAAACTTAACTAAACTGCCCCGATCAACAGTTTGAAAATTAGTTACTATAATAGTCCAATGGCCTTGCTAGAACTGGTAACATATGGCTAATTTAGAAAATTGCACCGATCTATGTGAGTACGTATGGAATATTGCCAGAATATCTCACACTCATAACCATGTACAATTAACCAATAGCACGCGTAGTTCACGCTTCAATCTCTCGTGTATTTCAACTAAAACTAATGGTCTTAACTATTTTACTATTTAAAATTGTATAGGGGCATGACTGTCACCACCAATGCCGTCGTCATCACCAAGGATCAGAGCAACCTAATTGGAATTAGCATTGGTGGAGGAGCGCCCATGTGTCCTTGTCTTTATATAGTACAGGTGAGTTAAGGGGGAGGTTTAAGAAATTAAATCTACCATTTTATTTTGCACTACGTATGTCAAGATCAAAGCTAGCCTTGAAGCCTAGGCACCGAAAGAATGTGTGGGGATTGTAGGTATAATCCTTAACACACCCTCCATTACCCGGCGATTTGTAGGTATGTCTCTTGTAAGTCTCCTGAGCATGCAGTTTCTTCTTTATAAAATATAATTTTGTTGTTCCTTTTTAAGCCAAATATTATTATCCACGATTATGTATGATCTTTTTCTTCCTCCACGGACTTGGATTGGCCTTAAAGTTGGTCAGCTTACGCAGCCTGATAAACTCCCTTCGCTCCGACTTTAACCACTCGTTGGCCAGCTCCACGCAGCGCGTCTCCATTCGCACTCGTTTCTCTTTATCGTACAGAAAACGTCCCAGCGCCCGCTTCTTGGTGTGCAGCTGGAAAGGCTTCGGTCGAGTAAAAGAGCATTCCGTACGCGGCCTAAAGGGCTGGCGGAGCATGTAGTCCATGGAACTGGACGGATTGGTCTTCGGTGTTGAGTTGGATGCCTGCCTTTTGAGCTGCCTCTCCTTGTTCTTGCGCTTGACCAGCGCCTCCATGGACGTGGCGAGGGTGCGGGGACTCTTGGGCTTGGTTAGCTTTTTCAAAGAACACAGGTACTGCTGGCGCTTCTGCAGAAGCTGGTGGGACCTCTGGAAATCGGGCACTGGCCGACTCCGGAACTTGTACTCGTTGCCAGCGGCGCAACGCTTGAGGTCCCTGAGATTGTCAGCGTATAGCTTTTGGTATTCTTGGAACCGTGGTGTCGAAAACTTTGTCTTGGCTTTTTTTGCTTTCCTCCGCTTTTGGCCGCCGCCAGCTGGCTTCCGCTTATGGGAACTCTTTTGCCATCCTTGTTCCCGCAGTACAGCCTGCAGTCGGTCATCTAAACAATCTAAGCCGGGTAGCACCTTGGGTCTGTCCTCAGGAGTGGCCTTGCTGGCATCATTGGCCAATTTACACCAGTTGTTAATGGTCATAATTTAGAAAACCTAAAAGGTTCCAGGTGTTTCTATTCGAAATTTTGAAAGAGTGTTACAAAAGGCTACTTCTATCGGCTTGGTTTTTAAATAAGATCTGAGATTTTTTGAAACCTTTTCAAATAATTACAATTTCAGATCTTCGATGGCACTCCCGCTGCTCGGGAGGGTTCCCTACAATCCGGAGACGAACTACTGGCTGTGAACTCGGTGAGCGTGAAGGGCAAGACCAAGGTGGAGGTGGCCAAGATGATTCAGACGGCCACCGACGAGGTCGTCATCCACTACAACAAGCTGCATGCAGATCCCGAACAGGGCAAAACCCTGGACATCATACTAAAGAAACTAAAGCACAGAATTGTGGACAACCTGTCGAGCAATACAGCCGACACTTTGGGTCTCTCCCGGGCGATACTATGCAATGATTCCCTGGTGAAACGACTGGAGGAGCTGGAGGGCACTGAACTGATGTACAAGGGCCTGGTGGAGCACGCCCGTCGAATGCTCAAGGCCTACTATGATCTCCTGCAGACCTACAAGTCCTTTGGCGATTGCTTCACCCAGATCTCGGTCCATGAGCCGCAACAGCGAGCTTCGGAGGCGTTTCGAACTTTTGGTGAGTTTCACCGCACCCTGGAGAAGGATGGCCTGGGCATCATTAAGCAGATTAAACCAGTGCTCGCCGATTTGGGAACGTACCTGAACAAAGCCATACCGGACACAAAGCTCACTGTGCGTCGCTACGCGGATGCCAAGTTCACATATCTCTCGTACTGCTTAAAGGTCAAGGAAATGGATGACGAGGAGCATGGTTTTGCGGCCCTCCAGGAGCCACTGTATCGCGTGGAGACCGGTAACTACGAGTACAGATTGATACTGAGATGCCGCCAGGATGCGCGCAGCAAGTTCGCCAAGCTCCGGACCGATGTCTTGGAGAAAATGGAACTGCTGGAGTGCAAACATGCCATGGATCTCAACAAGCAGCTCAGAAGTCTGCTGGAGAGTTTGGCGGAACTGCACCGAAGTCTGGTGGAGCGGCTAGACTCGCTGCCGCCTCTCTTTCCCATTGAAGTGGACTTTAAGGAGACGGACTTTCAGTATAAGTCGAGCACCCTGAAGCCCCAGGAGCTGGACGATGATGAAATCGAAGCCAACAATCATCCAAATACGACGCCTTCCCAGGTGGACTGTGGATTTGAGGCCGTGGAACAACCGGCGGCAATTATTAATGTGGACACTAAGGAATCAGTAGAGCCTTCCTTTATCTCCGCCCCACAAGCCAACAGTGAGAATGATACGCTCCTCAAGGAACTGGGTCTGTACGATGTGGACCTGCTTTCCAATCCGCAGACCATCAGCAATCAAAAGGATTCCATTGCGGCCCAAAAAGAAGGCTACGACTTTGATCTCTTTCTGAATCAAGCAACGGCAGCCACCACCACCTTACAGCGGGATCTGATGTCCTCGAATGCGGAGGAAATGGATTTGCTTTTGCAATAGTCTTATGTAGTACAGTTAAAATTATTAATAAAATGTATTTATATGTGTTAAAGGGTTGTGCTAAAAAGTTTTGCTTACTATTGTGTGGGGAATAAGGAGAGCGGTTTTTGGGAGAAAATAGGTCTTAAATAATTAAGTACAACCAGGATTGTTTATAAAAGAAAAAAAATTATAATTTATGTATTTTCAAGAAAATTTTCTTGAAAGAAGGATTTTTCCATTATATATAATTACATTTTCCTAGCGGTTATTTTTCAGTTAACTTCAACAAGTATTTTACAAGGTTTCTATTTACAAAATCTATTTTGTTTTATAAAATCTTAACCAACTATTTATTTATAATTTAATAAATTCAAAACAGTCGTTACGTCAAGTAAGCCACATTACCATCATTGGAAACCTTCCTCCTGCCACATAGCTTAACAAAAACTATGCTTATTATATAGATCCCAGCCAGAATTAGGAAATAACTACCGTAGACCACATACTGATCCCTTGGTCCCAGACCAAATCCCACGGGTTCCACAACCACAATGGTCAGGATGGTCTGGAGCAATAGACCCACCAGAGTATTAATGCCAAAGATCAAACCAAAACTGTCCTCGACCAGGTTGCCGGCCACCACTGCTCCGGCCACGGTGATGATGAAGAAGAACACAGCACAGAAGAGCACATAGTTGACATAGACCACCCAGATTTCTTGGGTCCGCGCCGCATAGATGAGCAAAGCTCCGAGGACAGCGGCACAGATGGATATGCCCAGCATATAGGCACTACGGCGCTTATTCGAGTTTAAAAGTCCTGCCAGGATGGCGCCAATGGCTCCCAGCAGAGTGGCCAAGGCCTCAACGCCGCCATTGTACAGGCTCTGGTTATCCGGAGCTATCTCTTTCCACAGGAACTGGATGTAGGATATAACCTAGGGGATAAGAAGAGAATCTTTTTAATTTTTATTTGCCTATATACTTAAATTTCGAATTAAAAAAAAAAACAAATAGCATTGCATTCTTTTAGATCTAGGAATAAATTTCAAGAGTTTAATCAATCTTGATAAATACTGATTCTGGGTCAAGGTTATTCACTTGTTCTTTCCGGAAATACCAGTTTTTACTTGCAAGTTGCAGTAATATTTACAAAAATATCAAAAAAACAAAAAAGAAAGCTAACTTTGGCCACCCAAAGTTTGTATACCCTTGCAGGTAACAATTAAAATATATCATAACTAAGCCAAAAATGCATTAATTTCGATTCGGAAAGCAGTTTTGTGTTAGTTTTTATTAATTTAAAAAAACTGCATACCAAATTTCAAATTTTAAGAAATCAAAATTTTTGGCCATTTTTGCTTATTTTAATGATGTAACCCCTTATCAAATTTCGCAAAAATGGCCAAAAAACCGATTTCTTCCGGACATATCTAGAAAGATTCGCATGTTGATGCTGATCAAGAATATATATACTTTATAGGGTCGGAAACGTCTCCTTCACTGCGTTGCAAACTTCTGACTGAAATTATAATACCCTGCAAGGGTATAATAAAAAAATAATAGTTTTTAGAACCAGTTAACCCCCTTCCCGCTCTTAAAACTTATTAAACCGCAAGCCTTACATTTCATACAAATAAAATTAACACCCAAAACTCACCTGTATTTGGCCGCACGTGGCGAGAGCCCACCACAGGCTCCACTGCAGCACCACGGGATTAGAGTAGGAGGTGACAAGGTGGAACCACAGCAGGCGAAAGGCGTTGGTGACCGAGAATTTCGCTGTCTGGACTTCCCCACCAGGTGCTGGTGGCTCTTTTTCGGAGGCCGCATAAAAGTAGAGACTCCGCGGAACTCCGGGCAGCAGTAGAGACACAGCCAAGGAGATCAATTGTGTGGCCAACGAGATGTAGTGCAATTCCCGGAAGTTCATGCTCTCAGTGGACACCAAGATCTGGGCTAACAAGCCGCCTAGGAATTTTCCACTCAAAATAGCGGCCCGCGTGTGACCTGTCACTATCTGATACTGCTCCTTGTCCACCTTGGCGTACATGTACGTGTAGTAGGCCACCTCGGCGGCCGTGAAGAATCCAAAGAATAGCTGGGCCACCTGCAACATCTGCACAGTGCCGGTCCACAGCAGCATGGAGAAGAGCACGATCCCGGCCAGCGCGGAGAGAACTATGACTGGCTTATACCTCACCAGATCGGTGATAAGAAAGACGATGACCAGCTGGGCCAGCACAGAGTAGGTGCCAAAGGGGTAGACATCCTGGTAGATCTGCTCCGAGGTCAGGTTGCCATAGTCCCCGGCCAAATATTCCGAGACATACGGCTCAGAGGGCCGAAGTTCCCGGAAGAATCCAAAGGTGCATAGCAGCAGGGAGATCTTTAGCCAGTTTTTCATGATTCCAATGGCGACAACAGACGACGGCAAATCAAAATTGGAATGTTTCTCCTCCGGCGACAAATTTGCGCCAGTTGTTTTAATGTCGTAACCAAACGCGACGAACGCCAGCCGGCAACTGATCGTGCCAGCTGGGAGCGGAAAGTCAAAGCTCTCGCGTGCTCTTCGCCATATCGTTCCACAGAGGCGGCAAGAAGTAAGCTTACACAACAGCGGAAAATGGGAAAATATGGGTAATTTTAATACAAATTTTTAATATGGCTAAAAAAATATTTAAAAATCAATTAATAATAAATAACAAAAAATAAATTAAGCAAATAAATTAGAAATAAAATTATAAATTAACCTTAAAATATATAAGATCAAAGCCTAAAGTCAATGACAATCTTATAATGTACCATTTTTTTTTACAATTTTGTATAAATTAAAAATAAGAAATATGCAGACATATTTGTTGTTCATCCATAAATAAGCAGAAAAATTATTTTTGTGTTCCAGGAAATAACTCTTTAAAAATTAATTTAATATTAAACAATTTATATAAAATGTTTTGAAATTTTTTTATAAATTGAACTATTTTTTTGAGGCACTGTTTGACCTTAGGAGACCCTCTAAACCAAACATAAGAGAACTTTGCTTATATTCATTTACTCTTTCGGCTTTTTCAAAAAGATTCTGCTTAAAAGCTTAGCCATAAATAAAAGGGTAAAAAAACAGTCAAGAGAAGCGCTTTAAATAAGCCTTACTCCACTCTCTCTTCGCTCTAATTATTGATTTGCAAGGCAAGCAAAACCATCAGTAATACCATTTCTTAACAAACAAGAAAGGAAGCTAACTTCGGCACGCCGAAGTTTGTATACCCTTGCAGATTGGTTTCGATGTTTATATTATAGATTTAAATGCTGAAAACACTCACAAAACAGAGTTTCATTACATTTTACCTATACTTATTATGTTTACAGTTTGACAGTTACAGTTTTACATTCCCAGTTTTACATTTTCTCTACATCTACCGATCGGTTTATATGGCAGCTATATGATAAAGTTGTCCGATTTTTATGAAATTTATACCATAATTCTAGAATAATAAAAAAAGCTTATATCTCAGAGTAGATAAACATACGTTGAAAAACAACGAAACTATAATTTTTTTTCCTATTTATTTCTCGATCGTTCCTATGGCAGCTATATCATATAGTCGTCCGATTTTGATAAAATTTATACCAAAATTCTAAAATAATATAGAATGGCCATATTTAAAAAATGGTGCAAAAATGTTGAAAAACATCAAAGTTCTAATTTTTTTTCTACAAATATATCGAAAATTTGTATGGCAGCTATATGATATAGTCGTCCGATCCGGCCCGTTCCGACATATATAGCAGTGAGAGCATATAGAAGACTATATGCAAAGTTTCATTCAGCTAGCTTTAAAACTGAGGGACTAGTTTGCGTAGAAACAGACAGACAGACAGACGGACAGACAGACAGACGGACAGACAGACAGACGGACAGACGGACAGACGGACATGGCTAGATCGACTCGGCTGTTGATGCTGATCAAGAATATATATACTTTATAGGGTCGGAAACGTCTCCTTCACTGCGTTGCAAACTTCTGACTGAAATTATAATACCCTGCAAGGGTATAAAAATTGGAGGCATTTAATTGGCTGTTCCGAAGCAATCATATATCAATTGAGTGACGCGTTAATTGGAAATTCCCTTCAATGTTCACGCGATGTCTATAAACGATACACATCCAATTTGGGTATTTGATTTAGAGGCAAAAATACAGTCTGGGGTTAACTGATAACTCTGCCTTTGATCTTATCTCTTTAGCCTAATCAGAGCACACTAAATAAAGCCAAATAATGTCCACCAGCAAAAAGGGAACTGTATATCTCATGGTTTTTATGGTTTACAATCATTAGTTAGACTTTAAGGCTGTGAATGTTAGGAGCTCCTATAAAAATGTATTTTTTAATTGGTTTTTATTTACAATTCTTTTTTTGTTTATCTTAAGTTTAAAACCTTGAAGGTCCTACTTCCTTTTGAGATAATCCTCATAGAGTTTCAACAATTCCGGACTGGTCCTTGGTGGCACCGCCTTCAAGGCATGCTCAAAGTCCAGCCACTGCACCTGTTCCGCCTCAAAGCTTTGCTCCAAAGCACGCAACGCAGCCTCGTGACACACGGCTTGGATTTCCGCGCCGGAATAGCCCTCGGTCAATTGCACCAACTTCTCTATGTCCACATCCGCCGATACCGGCATGGCACGCAGTTTAATTTTCAAGATTTCCCGACGCGCTTCCGTCTTGGGTAAGCCCACGTACAGGATACGATCAATTCTTCCCGGACGGAGTAGCGCCTTGTCAATCATATCAGGGCGATTGGTGGCTGCAACAATGGTGACATTCTGAAGGGCCTCCACGCCATCCAGCTCGGTTAGCAGTTGTGTGAGAACGCGTTCTTTTACGGAGGAACCCGAACCGGAGCCGGAACTGTCGCCTTCGGACCGCTCGCCGCCAATGGCATCGATCTCATCAAAAAAGACTATGGCGGGCGCCACTTGGCGAGCCTTGCGGAAGACCTCACGCACCGCCCGCTCCGATTCGCCGACCCACATGGAGAAGAGCTCCGGTCCCTTGATTGAGAGAAAGTTAAGCTTACTCTCGGTGGCTAGAGCTTTGGCAATCATCGTTTTGGAGCAGCCCGGCGGTCCGAACATGAGGATACCCCTGGGCGGCTTTATGCCCAAACGTTGGAATTTCTCAGCATGGAGCAGCGGCCATTCGATGGCCTGCTGCATGGCCAAACGGAGTTCCGATTGACCGCCAATATCCGCCCACTGGACGTTGGGGCACTCGATAAGAACTTCACGCATCGCCGAGGGTTTGATGCGGGTCAGGGCAGCCTGCAGATGCTCGAGCTGGAGCGGATGGGGCTGAGCCTGCAGCATGGCAGCATAGACCAGATTCGCCAGATCTGCACCCACATAGCCATGGGTAACTGCAGCTATATGCTCCACAGCCTCTTCGTTCAACTGGTGCTCCAAAGACTGCGTAAGACACTGGATAATCTCTCTCCTTGCCTGGGGAGTTGGAGCACCCAACTCCAGCTCACTGTCCAATCGACCAGCTCTTCGTATGCTCGGATGCAGGGACTCAATCTGCGAGCTGGTAGCCAGCAGGAAGGTTTTGCTTCCCTTCAGCTGACTGGGACTGCTGAGCTGATCCAGTAGAGAGAGGAAGGCCAGCGAGACGCGTTTGACAAGGTCACTGCTTTCCTGTTTGGGGCACAGGTTGTGGACATCCTCGATCAGCAATAGAGTTGGGTGCGGATAGTGATTGTAGGCACGCTCGAAGATGGCCGCCAGCTTTTGTTCGGTTTCTCCCAAGAACTTGCTGTAGACTTCGCCACTATTGATGCGTATGAGTTGGGCATTTCCCTGGCTGCGCTCCTCGGCCACCGCAGACATGGCCTCCAGGATCAAGGACTTGCCACAGCCGGTGGCTCCATACAGAAGCATGCCACGCGATACCCTGAGGCCTGATGGAAATCATAAAATAAAATCAAACTGGTTTCGTAGCTTTAAAGAAATATATTTACCTGTAGGTAACGCCCTAAAGCCCAAGGCGTACTCCATGCTCTCCTCCACCAGGTTTAATTGCCTGTCTAGCCCTCCTATTTGGGTTTTGGTAATGCGATGGATTTTCTTCTGCTCCTTTAGCTGTTGCTCTGCACTCTCCGCTATCAGCTGGAGTTTGGTGACGTTGGTCACCTGGACAAACTGCAAGGGCTTGGAGTCCAGACTAAGACCAGCTAGAGCTTCTTCTACGGTGCCCTGCCATCGCTCCAGGCGAAAAAGCAGCGACTTGTTGAAGAAATTCATGTGGATTTCACTGCCCTTGCAAAAGATCCTATTGACAATGTCTCTTTTGAGAAGGGCAATGGCTTCTTGGAGTTGTCCTGCCGCCAGTGGAGTCTCTTTGCTGTTTAATTGCCTTAGGGATATGCTGGCAGCAGCTGTGAGACAGCTAGTGTCCAGAGCAGTGATCTTCAAGAGCTTGCCACGCAGCTGCGTCCAATGGAGCTTTAAATCTGCAAATATGTTTGTATTTAGAGAGATTTTGATTAAGAATTCTCTTGGTTACAGTTGCGATATCTTACCTCCCTCGCTCACAAACACCGTAGTGAGGAATTGCTCTGATATGGGCCACAAAATCCTCACCAGCGGCTGTTGCTCTGTTGTAGGCGCCTCTATCACCACATGCTGGCCAATGTGCAGTTTGGCCAACTGCATTGCTCCCTCGGAGACAAACAGCAGCACGTTGGCATACTTGGCAGAGAGATCCTTTAGAGATTCCACCTCAAAGTTTCGCTGCTGCAGAGTTCTCGTAAAGATTGCTCCACTCCGCACGTACTCCGCATCGGAATCCGGGGCAGCATCATCCTGACCGATTGTGGAGCAGTGTTCATCGTGGTTGTCCCTCGCCTTGGAGGGAATGTGCACGCCACAGGTCTCGCAGTGATACCAGCTGGCCTGGGTCTTCTTGGAACTCGATTTCGGCGGCATATCTATAGCCGGTTGCACGTTTTGATTTCATTGTGAATGGCAATTTTTGTTTCCATTGTGAATTGTATTTGTGTCGATTTCCGATATTTTTTATATCGATAACGACTGTTGTGACTCACGCAGAATTGTTAGTGCAAAAAGTGGAAAGAAGGAAAACAAAGCACAAAACGCACGGAGGGCAACATGAATAGCGAAGCCTCATCACTGCAGATGGCCCAGGTGGTGCCCGGCAGCCTCCCAGCCGCAGCGGCGGCGGCGTCGTCGATGGAGGAAGCCAGTCAAGCGTCCGCATCCCTCAGTGCGGCCATCTCAAACACGGATTTCTACATCGGCGTCGGCCTGGCAATCTCCTCCTGCTTCTTCATCGGCTCCAGCTTCATCATAAAGAAGAAGGCACTCATCCGGCTGAGCAGATACGGCGAGGTGCGGGCCTCGGCGGGAGGATTTGGCTATCTGAGGGAATGGATCTGGTGGGCGGGTCTCCTGACAAGTGAGTTGGAAACTATGTGCTGGGAATACGGGAATTAAAGCCCTTTTAGGGTACTCTGGAATAGTTAATATGAGTTTTTGTAAAGTAAATACATATGTAGATTTATGGAACTCCATCTTTTAATAGGTTTATAATGAGAACAAAGGCTATAGTGAATCAATGAACTATGTATTTTCTTGAAATTTTCCCAAAATCAGAATTTGAATAAATACCTCGATAAAGATAAGAAAAGTCCCCCAAAAACCTGATAAAAACCCATAGTTCGTCATATTTTATGGAAATATATACATGTTTAGATACAGCAAGGTGCTTCTTATCTTGTTCCATTGTTTTTCAATTACAATTCTAATTGATTTCGACCTAGAGTTTGATTATAGTTCATATTTCCCTTAAAAATGTTAGTTATTAGGTTGTTTTGAAGTCCTATCTAGTATCTGACCTTTAAATCTTTAAAACTTTACCAAATATATACATAGTATATAGTTTTTAAAGATCACAAACATCCGGCAATAATTATAATACAGTTTACCCACAGATATATGTTATGTACATAACGAACCCCTTATCTATGACTCATTGACTTACTGTCTCTCTGTTTGTTGTTTTTCTTTCAGTGGGTCTGGGCGAGGCGGCGAATTTTGCGGCCTATGCCTTTGCACCCGCCTCCCTGGTGACCCCCTTGGGGGCCCTCAGTGTGATTATCTCGGCGGTGATGGCCTCCAGATTTCTCAACGAAAAGCTGAACCTACTGGGAAAGATTGGCTGCTTTTTGTGCATCTTGGGCTCCACCATCATTGTGATTCACTCGCCTAAGGAGAAGGAGATTGAGGATCTGCAGCTGCTGTTCGACATGCTGCAGGATCCGGTGTTCATTCTGTATGTGATCTGCATCATTGGCTCCACGGTGTTTGTGGCCTGCTTCATTGCCCCGCGCCACGGGCACACCAATGTGGTTGTCTATATATTCATGTGCTCGGGAATTGGCTCCCTGACCGTGATGTCGTGCAAGGCTCTGGGTCTGGCCATTAGACAGACGTTGAATAACGGTGGAAACGTGTTCCTCACCTGGATGCCGTGGTTCCTGATCCTGATCACTGTCACCTTCATCGCCATCCAGATGAACTATTTGAACAAGGCGCTGGATATATTCAACACCAGCATTGTGACGCCTGTTTACTACGTCATGTTCACCACTCTGGTGATCGTGGCCTCCGCCATTCTGTTCAAGGAGTTCACCCACATGCGCTTCGACGACATCCTGGGCGATGTGTGCGGCTTCCTGGTCGTTATCACAGCTGTCTTCCTGCTCAACGCCTTCCGGGATATAGACATAACGCTGAACGATGTGAGGGGGCTGATGCGCCCGAAAATGCAGCGAGTGTCGCAGTTCGACGAGGAGGTGCTGGTCACCAGCAACACCAAGGAGCGGCGTCTGTCGTACGGCTCCGGCGACTTGTTCCGGAAGGCCTGACACAAGCATCGCTACCAGGTTTAGTTGCATCCCCTGCAGCGCATGGCCTGAAGATGGCTTCCGAAACGAAACATTGGTCCAAGAAAAGCATATCACTTGCCCATCACATCACATCCCGTCATCTCTCATCCATTGTTCCTTTCATCTTGTTAAAAACACATTCGCTAGCATTAGAACATAGGTTATAGGACGAAATTATGTATATTAAAAGGATTTATTTAACAGAATTCCAATCACATTTACTATTTATTTAATGTCTACAAATTTGCGACACTACAATTTGAAATTTTACAATAAAAATACATGTGTAGAGTAGACTTTCCAGTGAATGACAGAGTTGCCCCTCTTAATTGGCAAACAAAAGACTCGCCAATAAACAGTTATTTAATTAATTTTCACTGTGCCCTGATTTAACAATCAAAATGAGCTTGGTGCGAATGCAAACACTCCGGAGTCTTTCCCGTATTTCCCGTAATCTCCCCCGGACTGATAGGATCCGTTCATCCGCTGTGACTGCCAACTTGCCGGCCGCCATTACGGTCAGAACGCTGAAAACATTTGCAGGCCCTGCCGATAATTCCATTCTAGCCAAAGAGCCGCTCTCTGCATTTACCCAACGTCTGCGCCAGTATTCTTGTGGGAAAATTGGAAAAGCCATGGAGGAACACTGTGTGGTACCCGACGTCATTGCCAAGGCCCCGACGGCGACGGCAACTGTGGAATATCCCTGCGATATTGTAGTTAAGCCCGGCCAGGTTCTGACTCCCACCCAGGTCAAGGATCAGCCCTCCGTCAAGTGGGAGGCAAACGCCGACAAGCTATACACTCTGTGCATGACCGATCCGGATGCACCGAGCCGCAAGGAGCCCACGTTCCGCGAATGGCACCACTGGCTGGTGGGCAACATTCCCGGCGGCGATATCGCCAAGGGCGAAGTTCTCTCCGCTTACATTGGATCTGGACCGCCGCCGGACACTGGCCTGCATCGCTACGTGTTCCTTGTTTACGAGCAATCGTGCAAGCTGACCTTTGACGAGAAGAGGCTGCCCAACAATAGTGGCGATGGACGTGGTGGGTTCAAAATCGCCGACTTTGCCAAGAAGTACAACCTGGGCGATCCGATTGCCGGCAATCTCTACCAGGCGGAGTACGACGACTATGTGCCCATTCTCTATAAGCAGCTGGGCGCATAAGTTTCTTGTTTTTTGGTCAATGTATACTCATTATGTAACTGCAGTTGGAATTGGATTCACAAATTGCAAAACCCATTAAAAAGGCCTGAGAAAAAAGACACTGTATCCAAGATTCTGTGTACCATAAATGTTGGCAATAATAAAATTGTTAAAGACATCGACTGCAAAGACGTTTTTTGTCATATCTTATCTGTAAGACTTAAAATTGGGTTTATATATACTATAAGTGTCTTATTTAAAGGTGAACAAGACTTATCTTATCTAATAAAATCTTAGATCCCATGTAATTAGGCCTTCTGACCTCTGCCTTTGCATATACCCTCTCAGCGTATTTATAATTTTAGTCATAAGTTTGCAACGCAATGAAATGATCATTTTTTGGGAAAATCTAAGTTTAAACTATTATAACATGAATTTCAATTCAAACTCAGTTTACAAATTTGTAAAAATGTTTATTTATGGCAATTTTAATCCCTTATAAAATTTTTAAAGATTTCTGCAACTTTTTTTCCCTGCAAACATGGCTAAATCGACTCGGTTGCTGCTGATCAATAATATACTTATATGGTTTATAGGGCCGAAAAGTATTCCTTTACTGCATTACAAGCTTCTGAATTAAATTGTAAATCCCTGTCAAGGTATAAAAACAATTACATTGCAGTTTCTTATCAATTTTACATATATATTTTTTTAAATCAGAATTTAGTTTTAAGTTTAGGCAAATCAAATGACTATATCATCTTGTCCCCATGGGAATCATCATTTTATTTGGAGGAATATCTAAAAATGTTCCCGTGAACCTGTAAATATAAACGTTTCAGTTTAAATTTCAATATTAAAATTGTAAAAGTAAGCTTTCTTTCATGTTTACAGTTAAAGCTGCCAAGTCTGAAACATCAATCTCAGCTTTGTGCAGCTTGTTGCTATAAATTCTTTGTTTTTAATATATGTAATACATATTATGTATGTATATTTCCCATAATAACAACTCATATTTATTGTAGGCCGATTATTTATTTTTCAAATCCAATTACATTCTACATTATAAATAGTATTCTTCTAGCGTCATACAAAAATGTTTGTGAAATCCGGGTAATTACAATCTTACCAAGTGGAAAACACACTCGCGGTTCAGAGTATTTAAATACTTATGGCCGCGTTCATCGGTGATCATTTATACATAAATCAAAAATTAAAAATTATCAAAAGATAAGCTAGTTTTTAATTTACCAATGAACGCGGGAATTGATTTTCTCCGAGGAAGTAGTTTCTTTCTAATTTTCTGATCAATGTATTCGTTTTCGTATCGCCCACAGGAAACGAAAGACAAAGCCCTCTTAGGTCGGCTCCTTTATTTCGTTTAAACAATGTGTTCTAATTACAGACTACGCTAAATAGTCATATGCTTGCTTCAGTTAGTGTATATATTGGGGTTCCGTTGTAAAATCTAGATAAGTAATCTTATGAATCATATTATAATCCTGGAGAGAACCTACGCAGTGTGTTCGATGTTGGGGAACCGAGTGTGTGTGTGGTTGAATGCTGAGACGAGGAGTAGCAGTGTGCTATTCAGGTTTTCCGAGCCCGGTTACTCGGGGGCCGGGAAAACAGTGCGGTGCTCCTTCCATTCGGTTTCACTAATAGCCTGAAAATTGAAAAAATATATAAGGATGTGGTGAATGAAGTGCTGGAACCCTTTACTCACTACCAACTCGTCGAAGGCCTGCTTGGCCAGCCAGTGGAAAACGGGGGTCTTCCACTCGCGGGCAGTAGATTGCTGATCCCTGACGATCTCCTCCTCGGTGGACTTGGAATTGTGGATAGTCTCGTACTTGGCCCACAGGAAGATCATGCTCTTCAACTTGTATACCCAGAGATCGTTGGGTATGTTGCGAATCAGGTCCTGGAGCTCCAGTATATTCAGCTCGGTGAGGTTCTCCAGGAAGGTGCGGTTCATCAGGGTAAAGATCGTCTTCATGGTGTCATACGGCACATCGGCATTCTTCTCGAGCACATAGTGAGCCGACTTGATGATGGCGAACACCACCTCCTCAGTGGTCATCTTGGGTAGATTGGGCAGGAAACAGTGCTCCAGATTGTAATTGCCGGTCTCCACCAGCTTCTTTTCGATCTTATCGCCGTACTGCTTGTAGTCCTTCCACCACTTATCCCACTCCTTGTATCTCTTCGATTCGTACAGCGGTGCCCACTCGCTGCGTATACGCTTCCTGTTCTTCTTGCCGCCCTTGCGGGCCACCTTGACCTCCTCGGAGGACTCATCGTCGGAGTCGTTAAGCAGCACGGCATCTTCGGAAAAGTCCTCGTCCACGGCCTCCTGGTTTGTACTGTAATTGAAGAGCTGCTCGAAGAAGGTCAGGGCATACGATTCCGACTCTGGCTGCGGAAGCTTCTTCGGCTGCTCGTTGAGGTACGGCAATTTGAATCCGCCCATTAGGAAGCCGCGCTTGCGGGCCACACGGCGCCACTTCTTCACCGACTTGGAAGCTGCCTCCGTTTCCAGTGGTGGTGCAGCAGCAACGCGCTTTTGTCCTGCAAGAAATATGAAATTTAATTTGGAGTTTTTGGGGTAAAAGAGTTGAGAGAAAACTAAACTTACCGATTTGTGGTGCCATTCCAGGTGGCTTGTTATAGGCAGGGGCGGAATTGCCTGCCTTGGGACCACGAGGAACTCCCTGAGGCCCAGGTCGTACTCCCTGTGGTCCAGATCGTACTCCCTGTGGACCAGGTCGTACTCCCTGTGGACCAGTTCGTACTCCTTGAGGGCCAGCACGAACTCCCGGGGGACCAGCTCGTACTCCCTGAGTCCTGACTCCCGGGGGACCAGGTTTTTCACCTTGCGGTCCAGCTCCAGCTGCTGGCGGTCCCTTCTTGACTGCTTGTGGTCCACTTTTTACTGGTCCAGGGGCAGCCTTGATAGCTTGTCCAGCGACTGGAGGCTTCTTCTGGGCAGCAGCCCCAGCACTATTGGTTTTAGTGGCTGCATTGACGAGCTTATACTGATTGGGTGCCTTATTCTGAACGCCAGCAGCAGTGCCTGGACGCACATTGCCGGCTTTGTTCGGTTGTGGGTTCCGACCCGCAGCATTGGTCACGGCGGCGGCTGCATTCGGGTTATTGCGCATATTATACACTGCCTTGGCAGCTGGCTGAGGTCCTGGTTTTCGGACGGCCCCGCCATTGTTCACGTTGATCTTCTGTAGCTGATTTCGCTTTGAGTTGAAGGCGCGCTGACTGGCCTCCCAGTTGGAGAGGGCTTGTCCTCCGCCACTGTTGTTCGATTGATAGCCAGAGCTCTGGAACGAGGAGGACTGATTGGACGAGTTGCTCCAGTTGCGCGAGTTGGCCTCATTGAAGGAGCGACTAATGTTGTTGCTAAAGCCGGAACCGCCTGAGCCGTTGAAGCCACCTTGTCCGCCTCCTCCGCCGCCCGAGTTATTGAAGCCTCCTCCGCCGCCCGAGTTGTTGAAACCTCGGTTGTTGAAGTTATCATTAAAGTTCTGACCGCCAAAGATTCCTGGATTTGGGCCTCCGAAGTTGCCAGAGTCCGAGCTCCCGTAGTTGCCTGAATTCGGCCCTCCAAAATTGCCGCCACGTCCATACGAATCATTGAATCCAGAACGCTGTTGGTCATTAAAGTTCTGAGCCTGCTGCGGGCCGCGGAAATTATCACCAAACGAGGGCCCATCGTTGGGACCATAACTGGAGCCAGAATTGCCGCCGAAATTGCGGGGAGAGTCATTATAGAATCTGTCGCTGTTTCCCTGCGATTGCTGACCACGGTAATTGTTGGACAAGTCCGAATTGAAGTTACCACCGGGATTGCGGTTTCTCATTTCCTCCAGCTCCAGCGCGCGTTGCAGGTTACCCAAATTGGCCTGCAGACTGCCAGAGCCAGAGACACCGCCTCCTCCGCCACGGTTTGAGGGACCAAAGTTGTCTGATTGGCCACGGAAATTGTCCTGGTAGTTATCGTTGGCGTTACCAAAACGCTGATTGTTAATGTTGGCATTAAAGCCGCGATCATCAATGGAACGTGAATAGTTGTTGTTGCTGCGAGGGCCGCCATCGAAGTTACCGCCACCACGGTTGTAGTTACCAGAGTCGGGACTCTGATTTCTGTTACCGCCGTAGCCTCCCTGGTTTCCGCCGCCGCCGCCGCCACCGTAGTTGCCGCCATTGTAGCCACCACCGCCGCCGTAATTTGAGGAAAAGTCACCCAAGCCGCCACCGCCGCCGCCAGCGTTCCCCATTCCACGACGCTGGCCAATTCCGTAAGCGTCGTTCTTCATTTGCCGGAAGTCCATGTCGGATCCCCGTGCGCGAATGCTGCTTATCCGGCGTTAGATGATTCGCTGCTTAGCTTAACTTCCCTGCGCTGCTTTCCCGCTTTTGAAATAATTGTGTCAAACTTTTTTTCCACACAAATTTTCCCGAATTTTTTCGCAGCAAGCCAACAGTGTTACCACCTAATGGAAACCGGCTAGAAGGGAAATGCCATACGGCGTCATGGAAAAATACTAACTTATTGGCCAAAAAATACCAACAACCACCAAGTTGTGAATACAGTTATTTGTATTTATAAATTAACTAGAAAATTTTATTTAATTATAAGATCAAGATTATTTATGCAGAAAAGCATTTAAAAATTAATTTAATTATAAGATTAAGATTATTATTATTCAAATTCAATTATTCATCAGTGTTAAGGGCACAATCTCTTAAAAATATGTGAATTAAAAAATGAAAAACGGGTTAAAATTGGACAGAAAATTCAAATATTAAATCTCATTAAAGGTTTTTTTTTTATAGTAAGTAATAAAACAATCATTTTCGGTTTTTGGTGTAAAACACGATACATTTTCCCTATAAATCCAAAATCCGAAACACGTTTTTAGACCGTTATTTGTTATTTGTAATTGTATACCTTTGCAGGGTATTATAATTTTAGCCATAAGTTTGCAACACAGTGAAGGAGTCATTTCGGAATATACATATATTCTCAATCAAAATCAACAGTCGCGTCGATCTAGCTATGTCCGTTTCTACGCAAATTAGTCCCTCATTTTTGAAGCTATTTAAATGAAACTTTGCAGATAGTTTTCTATATACTCTCACTGCTATATATGTCGGAACGGATCGGACGACTATATCATATCGCTGCCATACAAATGTTCGATAAATTTTTAGAAATAAAATTATAACTTGGCTGTTTTTCAATATTTTTGCATCATTTTTTAGATATAGCCATTTTATATTATTCCAGAATTTTGGTAAAAATTTTATGAAAATCGGACGGCTATATCTTATAGGTGCCATAGGAACGATCAGGAAATTAATAGGAAAAAAAATTTAACTTCGGTGCTTTTCAACGTATTTTTATCTACTCTGAGATATAAGCTTATTTTATTATTCTCGAATTTTAACTTTGCCATTTTTCAATTATTTCTTATTTACTTTGAGGTATGTCCCTTTTTTGTTAGTCCAGAATTTCGATATCTATCTATCCTTTTTCGAAATTTTAACTTTTTCTTTTTGCGTAATAAAAACATTAGAATTTTATTTTGTAATTTCAATCTGCCTTTCAGCAATTTATTATAAATTATTCAATAGTCACAGGCAATTGGAAAATTTTATTAAACATCTAATCACAAGCCTAAAAACCGCTATTAGTTGATAAATACTGGAATGCGGATCTGCAGCATCTGAAACGAAAGAAAAATAAATGATTAAACAACTAATTTCTATTCCCTATGGTACAGCGTTTTCCTAGTTACCTTGCTGGTCTTGTCGAACAAAGCCTGGGCCCGATCTTGCTGCAGACGGTAGTTCACGAATTTATCAAAGACATAGCCATGCTTTTGAGACTCCACCAAGATGCGATCCTCACCAACATCCAAGTTAACCTCCTGTGAGGAAACCTGCAACGTGAAAAGAATATTTGTAGACAAAAGTTTAATTGAAAGCGTAATTAAAAAGCTTACGCAATTGGGTAGATAAATCTCGGCGTGAATCTCATCAACAGTGTCCTCGCGAACTCGAGCCCGCAGCTTATACTGCAATTCTTGGCCACCGCCAGCCGAGCGAAAAGTGTTCCTAATTGCAGCCGCATCCTTTTCGTTAATCTCCTGGACAAGTTTTCCAGATTTATCCGGTGTCCCAGCACCCTGATCCTTGCTAGAAATAGCAGCCTGAGCTTCACTTGACCCTGGCTGAGCTCTCTTAACATCATCGTTGCGTACGCGATGGGAGACCAAGGTGCCGATGAACTTGCGATTGTTCAGGGTGATGGTCTTCTGCATGTTAATTTGAATATTGTACTTCTCGCTCATGGCCTCGGCAACAATTTGCAGGAAAAAGTTGTTAAACAGCTGCGATTTCTGGATCTTCACCAGGAAGTTTGGATTGATGGCAATGTCGCAGACATCGACGGTTTTATCGGAACGATCCTTGGTGTGCCGCGGCTCCGAAATACTCATGGGCACTCGGAACGAGCCCGGAGTGGGCGACTCCAGTATTTCAATCAGCTCCTCCTCGGTTACATCTTCGGGTGCTGGGACCTCCGGTGCCTGGCACACGTTAATGAAGAACTTCTCGTTGCTATTCACCTTAAAGCTCTTCACACAGATACCTGTTGGGGTGGGATAACAAAGTGGAAAATAGTTTAGAGTTTTTAATTAAAAAGGTTTCATCAAATTAAATCAAAACTGAAGATGAAATTTCGGGCGAAGCTAAACCGGCTTTATTTTTAAACACTATAATACATATGTAAGATTTAAATTTATGACGACAATTTGTTGCACGTTTAGTTTTTGTCAGAAAAAATGTCTAAATTAGGCCGTGATAGAGTTCTCTGTGTTCAGGCCAGGCTACTCCGCTGATTGCCTGCAAGTAAGGAAGAAAAAAAGATTTCGTCATTTCGATGAATTTTCTATATATCAATATTTTCTTTCATCCCTAATCTTAACCCACCTTGAGTTCATCAAAGGCCTGCTTAGCCAGCCAATGGAATAAAGGATCCCTCCACTGACGCGCCATGGCTTTGAGTTCATTTTCCTTGTGTATTTCGCTTTCGTCTAGGTTCTTGAGAATCCGATGGTACCTCTCCCAGAGGTAAACCATACTGCGGATCTTATAAAGCCATAAATGATTTGGAATGTAACGAATCAGATCCTGCAGTTGCTCCTTCTGTTCCTCGGACAGGGCCTTAAGGAACGTCTCGTTCATTAACAAAAAAATGGATCGCATATTGCGATAGTAATTGAACGTATTCTTCTTAAGGCCATTGCGCCCGCATCTGAATACCTCGCTGACCATCATTTCCTCGGTTGGATACTTGGGAGTGAATCGTTTGCACATGTTGCGATCGCCTAGCTTGGCCAGCTCCTTGTTGATCTCGATGCCGCACCACTTGTAATCCTTCCACCAAGCGTACCAGTCTTTGTATTTATTCTTCCGATAGACAGCCATCCACTCTTTAGTTAGCTTGTTGCGTATTATTTTCTTTGAGTTCAGTTTTGTTCCTTTTGAGCCAGATTGGTTCGAGTCAAGGGATTCGGCGTCAGACTCCTGTTCATCGGGGTCATCCATTTGGCCATCATCAATGGCATATATGTTTGTATTATATATCGGTGTCTGCTCGAAGAAGGTCACGGCATAGGACTGGTCCTCGCTTTGTGGTAGCTTTTGTTCATTGTTATTGATATAGGGCAGGCGAAAGCCCCCGATTATGAAGGCATTCTGTAAGGTGGTTTGCTTTTTGCGTTTGTAATCCACTTTTGAGGGACGATTCGACTCTGACTCTTTGGACTCTGCTTTCCTTTTTTGACCTGCAAAATTTTGGAATGGGTTTAAATAGATTTTGTTGGTATTTTTGGGAGGCTGAGGAATGCAAACTGGTCTTGGAAACTTTTATTCAAGATGTCTTTTGTTTATAAGAGCTGGACATAAAATTATTTCGATTAATCGATTTCTTTCAATTAGGCGATAGATAAATTAAAAAATTTAGAATCGATTTAATCGAAAAAAATCAAAGCGTAAGTGAACTCGTAGAAAAGTTAAGTACAAACATTGTTGATGTATTATATATACATATGTCTAATTTTTTTTATTTTATAAATCCGAAATTTATGGAATTTGGCATTTCGGATTCGATTGGATTACCATGTCATATAAAAAATGCAAATATCAATAAATAAAATGTGTAGAACATTAAAATAAGAAATCTATGATGAATAAAAATATATAATTTTAATTATTAAATTATCGATTTTAATCGATTTATTTCCAGCTCTATTGTTTATGATTTAATGGAATACTTGAGTTTGTTTTTTTGAGAACCATTTTAATGACAAAATGATGACTTATCAGTTGAATTCCCATTTACATATACACAACTCAAAAATGCATTTTTTAAAAATTTTTTACAAATAATTTTACATTTTTAGTTGCGTTTTTGTTTGTTTTTTTTTATTTTTTTATTATTTATTCTTACCAGCACGTGTGTTTTCCAAAGACGCATTGTTCCTGGCTTGATTGGACGTAGAAGTCTTGGCTGCACTGGAATTGACGTTTTTGGCTTCGGTTGCCGAACGGTTTGGTTTGGTTTTGATCGAGACACGATTACTTTGTGGATCGCCTGCTCGATTCTTTTGTCCTGTTTGCGTTGGTTTTCTTAAATTAGCATCATCAGGCTTTACACTTCTGGGTGCACTGCGAACTTGACCAGGTTTTTCGCGGCCAGATGTGCTTCGACTTTGATTTGTTAATGAAGTTGATCTGGAGTTGCGGTCTATATTTATTCTTGACACACCAGTACTTGTGTTTCTGCCAGGATTGCGATCTTGAATGATCTTTGAAGTTGTTCTTGGGTTTCGACCAGAACTATTACTGATCCTGTCCATTGTTCGATCTTGACTTGTAGTGGTGTGTATGGTATTTGGGGCATGTCTGCCTTGATTCGATCGGTTTTGATGGGGATTTACAGGTTGGGGATGATGATCGCGGTGGTAACGATCTCCCGAACCTGATCCACGTCGAAAACGCTTCGGTGAAACATCGGGGTGATTTGAGCCTCTGAATCTGACAGAGTCATTCGATCGTTCGCGATCGTTCTCATAGTTATCATCATTAAATTGACGGCGTTCGTTGCGATCGTTACGCCCACGTCCATGATAATTAGAATCAATGTCGCACTGATCTCTGAAGTTTCCTTGGTTGCCCTCAAAGTTACGATCGTTGGAAAAGATTCGGAATCCTTGATCTTCTGGACCTCGGAATCCTGGTTTTCTAATTTCACCGTGATGATGCTGACGACGAAAGTGATCATCATCCTCCATATTGGGGCCATCATTGTAAACTTCATCTTGATCTTCAAACTGCAGAGAACCCTGCCTACGAAAGTTGTCATTAGGGTTGCGATTATTTGGCCGATTGAGATTATTTAGATCGATTCTATTAGCTTCAATCCAATCTTGACGACAAATGGTTATTTGATTATTATTGACAATGCGCTGATAATTTCGACCAATTTGTGGAGGCCCACCATATTCACCCAGGTTGGGGTGGGACTCAAGAAAGCTGTCATCGATTATTGGAGTTCCGTCTATGTCGGCTTCCATAAAATCATTATTAACTGGTTCATGGTATGGCCCTTGATTGTTGTTGTTGAATCGTGGGTTGTTTAACTTCTGCGGCATTTCTCGGGGGTTCAATTGTCGAGCACGAAAATTGGGGTTTCCCTGAGAATTTGCGCCCTGATTATTGAAATTTTGTGGCATTTCACGCTGATTTAATAGTGGCCCACGAATTTCCCTGGGGTTTAATTGCAGATCACGATTTCCCTGAGGATTCATATTACGATTAAATTCCTGAGGATTCATATTACGATTGAACTCCTGAGGATTTCGATTAAATTCCTGGGAATTGACATTTCGATTAATATTCTGGTTCTTGCGGTTATTTCGAATAATTTCTTGCCAATTAGCGCTTCTATTAAATTCATTGTTGCTTGTATTACGATTATTGCGTACGTTTTCCTGTGTGTTTGGATTTCGATTATGCATCTGAGTGTGATTGTTGCGAATCATTTCTCGATTTTCATGTCGTATATTTTGATTGAATTCCATGTGTGGATTTGCATTACGCTGGAATTCTTGTTGTGGATTTGTGTTGCGATTATTGCGATTTGCATTTCGGTTATCGCTGTTCAGATTTCGATTATATTGATGGTTTGGGCCATTTTTTGGTCCGGCATTCCGATTGAAAGGCTCTCGTTCCCTTTCCGGTTCCTGTTGCTCCAAAAATCCCCGATTGTTGTCCCTGACGCCTCGAAAGTCGCCAGGTCCTTGACGATTCCTTGGCCGGGATCGATCATTGTTACGCACCGGTGAATTATTCCGATTGGCGTTATGCCAATCAATGTTTCTTGGTGGCGACGGAGTGCGTGGGCGGGAATCAAGATCCGGTTCCTTGTTCTCCACAGCTTCCCCGATGGCTCGGAGCACCTCGGCATCCACAACGTTCTGACGACTATCACCCAACTCGACACTGAGCCGGAATCTTTGGCGCTGGAAGTAGCGCAGATTGAAGTCCTTCACCTTGAAGGTACGCACTGCAAGGGCGTGAGCAGTCATCCGGCTGGCGCCCAGCTCGCGAATGAACTGTCGACGAATGTCCAGCTCGAGGTTGCGGCTCGGCTCCGAGGAAAGCAGCGCTTCTTCATATTTCATGGAATCACATGAAATTATATATGTAAAAATAGAGCGGACACATATTTTGGGTTAGATTTAAGTAACTCGCAGAAAATCATCCTGGGTTCGCCGGCTTAATATAAATTGTATAAATTATGCAGTGGCCGATGGAAATTTTAACTAATTTTGAATTGGAGAATTTTATATCAAATGAAATTTAATATAACGCGAAAAATGTGTAAACAAATCCAGCTTAATCTTTTATATTTAAGAAATGATTTATGAATCGATTTTATGTCTTGGGAACTTGTTTAAAATGTATTTATATTTTTAACAACACTTGTTAACTTATATAAAATCGTAATACATTTGGAGTCTGTAATAAAAAACCCCTGCTAATGTTGATGTTTGGTGCTGCTATCAATACATTATATTGATGTATTTTAAACATTCAGCGAAATCGATTAGATTAGCAATGCTATCAAATATTATTTATAGAATCTTGAATATTTACAGAGGAAATATCCGTTTAATTTCCAGAATATTCTCAGCCCTTGGAGGCAAGTTTCCGATTTCCCAACGTCCACTGCATTGATTTAAAATATAATAAATAGAAGAAAAAAAGTATAAAAAACTGATAAACTACTAAGGAACTCTCGGCAATCCCAGCACCAAACAGGTGTGCAAAGCTACACTAATAATAATGGTCATGCTTATACCAAAAACTAAAGGAATACGCAAGCAAACACTCAATAAAATGACACTCTTTTGGGGGGGGGGCTAACAGCCACTGCTGCTCAGCGGCAGAGGTTTTATCGTTATCAATTCTGCTGATAAGTTTTCCTTTCGACTTTTGCTCTTGCGACAACAAAAAGTTTAAGAGTGTGGAACTACTGTTGCTTGAATCTTTGCCGGTATTCGGCACGCGGCCGAAAATAATTTCATCAGAGTCGGAAAGTCCCACATACTTTACTCATTCGTCCGAATAGGTGGAAGAGAGCGATGGTGGTGTTATCTCTCTGGACGTGATATGGAGCTTTATTCAGTCCAAACAAGGTCTTAACCCTCCGCGGGAGAGCTTCGCGCGAGAAGTGAGTCCGGGGGCCTCAATTGTCTGAGTTTTTAATTGATCAGCGGCAGCAGAAAAATAAAATAAAGAGTATCTATGGCACATGCAATCCTCTCTAAATGTTGTTTTTGTGGTTGTTCTCCCTCTCTGCGGCGGCTATTATCTCATTTTCTGTTTTGTGTCCGATTGACAGGGCAAAACAAATAAGTTTGTTCGCCGCGCTTGGCTCGAATTCAGTTGCCTTTTTCGCTCGTTACGAGCCGGTGGTCCGTGGATTTAAGTGCTTTGTTCCTGCTGCTGCCGTTCCTGCTATATTCCTACTGCCCTCCATCCGTCCGCTTTGATTCTTTTCGCTCCGTTGCGATCCGTTCGAATCGCAGCGACTTTTTTCCTACGCCGAGGTAATTATAAAGTGACACTTTCAGTCGCATCGAAACCACCGACGCCGTCCCATGTTATTGTTGTCCGCCAAAGCGAAACTATAGTGTGAGTGTGCGTTGGTATCTATGTGAAATTGGTGTATATGTATATGGATAGTTTTATGGTGGGTGCGAAAGTCTCGTAGCTTCGCCTGAAATTGTGAAATTTCCTGAATGTGTTCCAGAGAATCCCGCGTCAAACATTCCTCCACCACAAAGTGTGAATCATTATCGAAAAACTGTTCTGTTTGATAATAACTATTAATGTTCTGTCATGCTTGTAGCGCGATTATTTAATTGACAAAAAAATATTTAATTGTATTGCGCAAGGTTTCGTTTTTTTCATTCAAATGAAATTACACGTCGATAGCAACTAATTGCTTTGTGAGCTTCTCTGTAACCACCGGTTTTGTGTGAGTGCTGACGTCATATGGGCCTTGAAAGATTTGGTATCTCTCCTGCATAGAGCTTCGACAGCTTCTGCCCATCGTGATTATAATAATGAGAGCTCAGCCCTGAGAAAGAGGCAGCAGCAACTAGAGCAAACAACTGTTGCGCGATAAGAGGAGCGAGTAATTAGGATTATAAACTGCAATTCAGAATTAGAATAACAACAAACTGGAGTCCAGTGTATATATAGTGACGATAAGGAACTTTCAGATAAAGAAAAGCTAAATTGTTGAAGTTTTCTCTCCGATTCAGGAAAGTGTAATAATCTTTATCTCCAGGTTTCTTTACTCATAAAGACAGTCCCCTGTCAAGTGTCGTAAATATGTGCTCTATACTGTGTAAATAAATCACTTCTCCGCCGTTTTGTTTGTTGGTTTTTCGCTGCAAAAATTGTATAAACAATTTATGCCGGCTCTTTGGGAATCCAAAGTAAACAGCGGAGAAAAAAAGGCTCCGAGTTTTCTCTTCTCCAGCATGCTTTTTCCGGCATATTTATCGGAGAGTCAAGAGACGATAGCGAAATGTTGAGATTTGTTTACGCTTAGCATTTCATCGTGACTCGGCGCTTTTTATGCAAAAGAGAAATTTTTCAAGAGAGTGAAAAACACTTGGAAATTTGTTGCATGGAATTTCAGTTAGGTTTGCTGCTGCTTAGGGGGTTTTGTTGTGCTTATATAATCGCTCGCCGTTCGCTGTTGGCCAACAGGTTTCGCTGAAAATAATACCCGTTTTCGGTGCATCCGCGCTAGAATTTTATCTAAAGCCAGCCAGCAAGCATGCATAAAACACACGCGTAAACGGGCAAACAAGTTTTTAGCGCCCATAAAATGTGACTAGCCCAACGCCTTTAGCTAAATTTGCGGCTCTGTTGAAGATTAGCTGCGCCGAGTTTGTCTTTCTCATCGTGTGTTCTCCTTTTATTTATTGTCAAGTTTAGTTTGGTTCTCCGCGGTGGGAAAAACTTGTTTTCGGTGCACATTTGTCATTGACAGTGAATTGTCGTCGCCGTTGGTCAGGTTAGACAATAAACTAATATCTTCAAGTGGGTGCGCGCTGATGATGATGAGGGGACCTTCCGCGACGTGGCCCTGGACATGTAAACACTTATCGGAGCATAGCACACAATAACGAACAAGATTAGAAACTAAACTAAAAGGGGATCTTAACCCTTAAATGCCTGGTAATTTTAATTATTTAAATTTTGAAGAATTAGAAAAAGGTTAGAAAATTTTTTGAAATGAGTTCTTTTTTAAAAAGTCTGTGTATAAAGTAAACAAAACTTTTTTAATATTAAATATTCTTTGTCTTTGTTATAAAAGTGAAAGTAAAAAATTTAATTTATTAAATTTGAGCAATCTGTGCGAAAACTATACTAGGCATTTAAGGTTTAAGAGAAGTAAGAAAATTCATTATATCGCGAATTCACTGTTGGGGTTTTCATTGGTAGTAGTTCCGCGTCTCCCTCATAATTAACCCTGGACACAAGAGGGTTAATCTTTTTTCCATCCCGTCTTATCGCGTGTTCACTTTTGTGTGTCCGCCTTATCGCCGGTTCACTGTACCGTGCGTCCTTAAGCGCAATCGATAGCGACGTGAGATTTTAATCTGGGACGACATGGTTCCGCACTCGCAGAGATTAGCGGCGCGAGCTGGTGCAGCCGGCTGAACATACAAAGTGATAGCCGCGTCATGCCTGGCCGGCTAAATTCTCTGGCGGATTCTCCGCGCTGCCGGCTCCGCCGTACTTTTTTGTTCTGTGTGCAAATTCCGGTTATGGTGACGGCCTACACTCACCTGGCGTTGGCTGCACAATTAGCGAGTCCCGCGGCGGTGGCTTCTGCTGGCTGCTGCCTCCGCCCGGATTAGCACCGCCGAAGAACTGGTTGATGTTGTCCTCGAACTCGTTCTGCGTTAATAAATACAACATTTTTAGTTTTCTGTGGAATGTGCTCTTCCTCTTCTTGGCGGTGGTGCTTCGCTTACCCGCACAAAACGCAGGTTCTGCTCGCGAAAGTTGTCGTTGCCCTCGATGAAATTTGAGCGACGAGCCATTGCGCTTAAGGTATCAGAAACTAGTCACCAGTTAAAACGAATATTAACAATTCTTTTCACGTTCGGTAAAAATGTCGCAAATTTCTGACAATCTAAAACGGGACTGCCAACTTGCTTCAATTGAGAAAGGGCTGTAATAGTATGACCGCGCATGGAAAGCCTTGTTAAACCAAACAATACCGAGAAAATACCAAAGACTAATCAGGTGGTACAGTGGATAACATAGGCGAAATATAAAGTATATTTAAAAACACTTGAATATAAATTGATAAATTTAAATTGTACAATCTTGACAAAGTTTAAAGTCAAGTAAATTTGGAATGTTAAATTAATTAAAATGACTCAAACTACTGAACATTCATCTCATACCATACCCACTGTGCCATACAAAATACTACAAAATACCAATACCAATAATTAGAATTTGCGGCTGGTTTTGTTGTTGCTGCCCCCGCGTTGGGAACGAAACAGCTGGCTGGCAGACAGTATTGATAATCCGTTGTTTTTCCGCCGCTTTACAGTTACCACATCCCCAGATATAACCCAAGAAATAGGAGTGCACGTGGATAGGGCAACAAGGAAGACGACGACTGACCATGGCGGAGGACACAAATTCGCCGATGGACAGATTCTGTGGCTCCACGTTCTGGGTGAGTGCATCCATCGCTCAATAGGAATCCCTATAATTATAAATGGTTTTTCAATGATTTCTTTCACCAAACAGAACTCAACGGAGACATGGTTTACCAACGACCCCGACTTTACGCCGTGCTTTGAACAAACGGTTTTGGTATGGACGCCCTGCGCCTTCTACTGGCTGTTCGTGGCCTTCGATTTCTACTACTTGAAGGCGAGTCTGGACAGGAATATACCCTGGAACAAGCTGAACGTGTCCAAGGCCCTGGTCAATGTGGGCCTGCTGGTCATCACGGCCTTGGATTTAATTATGGCACTGATCAAGAAGGGCGGCGACAGTCAGTTGCCCTTGTACGACCTGGATGTGTGGGGTCCGATCATTAAGTTTGCCACCTTCCTGCTGCTCTTCTTGTTCATCCCGCTGAACCGGAAGTACGGTGTCCAGACCACGGGCTGTCAGTTCCTGTTCTGGTTCCTGCTCGTCGTGCTTTCAATTCCGCGCTGCCGCACGGAAGTTCGCTTGGATACGGAGCGCGGAAAGATCTTGAGTTCCGAGGAGGCCACTGAGCAGGATTTCTCCTGGGAGGAGTACCAGTTCGCTAGCTTCTTCATCTTCTTCACCTTCTCGTGCCTTATGCTGATCCTCAACTGCTTTGCCGATGGACTGCCGCGACAGACCAAGTACCAGCGCGGTGAGAACGAGATTCCCGAGCTCTCGGCCAGTTTCCTCTCGAGGATCACATACCAGTGGTTCGATAAGATGGCCCTCAAGGGCTACCGCAACCCTCTGGAGGAGAAGGATCTGTGGGATCTGCGGCCGCAGGACAGCTGTTCCGAGGTGATGCCCATTTTTGCCCATCATTGGAACCAGAACGTGCGCAAGAACTACAGGAGCAAGACCCGCGTGGAGCCAAAGGCTCAGTTCAGCAACGGCCACGTGACCTTTGAGAATCCGCACGGCGAGAAGAATGGCCGCAAGAAGGGCATGGCCAGCATTATGCCGCCCATTTACAAGTCCTTCGGCGGCGTCTTTATGTTCGGCGCCCTGATGAAGCTCTTCACCGATGTTTTGACCTTCGCCCAGCCCCAGGTTTTGAGTTTGATCATCGGCTTCGTATCGGATCAGGAGAAGGATCCACAGCCCGAGTGGAAGGGCATTATGTATTCCGTCCTGCTGTTTATCTTGGCCGCTGCCCAGACCTTTATTTTAGGCCAGTACTTCCACCGCATGTTTATTGTGGGCCTGAGAATTAGGACTGCCCTGATCAATGCCATCTACCGCAAGGCCCTGCGTATTTCAAACTCCACCAAAAAGGAGTCGACCGTCGGCGAGATCGTCAACCTGATGGCCGTGGATGCCCAGCGGTTCATGGAGCTGACCACCTACCTGAACATGATCTGGTCGGCGCCGCTGCAGATCGGTTTGGCACTATTCTTCCTTTGGCAACAACTGGGACCCTCTGTGCTGGCGGGTCTGGCTGTGATGATTATCCTGATCCCCGTGAACGGAGTGATTGCCAGTCGCATCAAGACCTATCAGATCAGGCAGATGAAGTACAAGGATGAGCGTGTTAAGCTGATGAACGAAGTCTTGAGTGGCATTAAGGTGAGTTTTCGGGGATTAGGAATGTGTTTTTTTTGGGAGGAGGATGGACTTTAGAGTCGGGTTTTGCAAGTAATCCTTCTTAATGAGCACTTGAACGGCAGTGTACCTCAAGGTGCAAGGGAAACCTGTCCTATAATTATCGATTTTCATGCATTCTTTATTATACCCTTGCAGGGTATTATAATTTCAGTCAGAAGTTTGCAACGCAGTGAAGGAGACGTTTCCGACCCTATAAAGTATATATATTCTTGATCAGCATCAACAGCCGAGTCGATCTAGCCATGTCCGTCTGTCCGTCTGTCCGTCTGTCCGTCCGTCTGTCCGTTTCTACGCAAACTAGTCCCTCAGTTTTAAAGCTATCTGAATGAAACTTTGCATATAGTCTTCTATATACTCTCACTGCTATATATGTCGGAACGGGCCGGATTGGACGACTATATCATATAGCTCCCATACAAATGATCGATAAATTTTTAGAAAAAAAATTTTAACTTTGCTGTTTATCAACATTTTTGCACTATTTTTCAGATATGGCCATTTTATATTATTTCAAAATTTCGGTAAAAATTTCATGAAAATCGGACGACTATATCTTATAGCTGCCATAGGAACGATAGGGAAATTAATAGAAACAAAAAAATTATAACTTCGTTGTTTTTAAACCTATTTTTATCTACTCTGAGATATAAGCTTATTTTATTAGTTCCGAATTTTGGTATAAATTTTATGAAAATCGGACAACTATATCATATAGCTGCCATATAAACCGATCGGTAGATGTAGAGAAAATGTAAAACTGGGAATGTAAAACTGTAACTGTCAAACTCTAAACATAATAAGTATAGGTAAAATGTAATGAAATAATATCTGCAAGGGTATACAAACTTCGGCGTGCCGAAGTTAGCTTCCTTTCTTGTTTTTTGTCTAATCTCTAAAACCTCAAGTCAATACTTATGGGTTTTTAGATGCAGAGTTTTTGGTTTTGTAATGTATTTATATTTTTTTTTATTCCCCCAAAAGGTCCTGAAACTGTACGCCTGGGAGCCGAGCTTCGAGAAGCAAGTCCTGGACATCCGTGACAAGGAAATTGCGACGCTGAGATCCACCGCTTATCTGAATGCCGGAACATCGTTCCTCTGGTCCTGCGCCCCCTTCCTGGTAAGATATGCCAGCCCCGCAGGGCTCTGAGTCCTCCGAGAATCTCTTTACAGCCAACTGGGGATAATGATGATGATTGAGTTGTGGAACCCAATATGGAAAGTGGACTAATCTGGCAAATATGTGTGTGCTCCTTCGTGTTCGAACAATTACAAAAAGGTTTCCCTGGTCACGTTCGCAACTTACGTCTTGGTCAGCGAGGCGAATCAGCTGAGCGTCGAGAAGGTGTTCGTCTCACTCGCCCTCTTCGACATCATGAAAATTCCGCTGACCGTCTTGCCTATGCTGAGTGTTGACATAGCCGAGGTATTTTAGGAAGCGGCTGGCTGCATCAACGATATGTTGATGATGATGACGGAATCTCCTCCAACTCTTCGGCTATGGTGCATCACTGCCTCTCCTAATTCCATAATTCCTGCCAACACAAAAACGAAAGGATCAAGAAATGCAACCATTTTTAGCAACGCCTTAAACCATATTGTGTATTATTTTTTGTAGGTTTCATTAGTTACATTCGCCACTTACGTTCTAATCGATGAAAATAACGTGCTTGATGCCACAAAAACCTTTGTCTCATTATCATTATTCAACATCCTACGTTTTCCGTTAACAATGTTGCCCATGCTGATCACCAACCTGGTACAAGTAAGTTACGCCCGATTGCAATACCAAAATTCTATCCACTTAAGTCTGATCACAGTGGGGCTGTGGGGCTATGATCCCCGGCCCCACTGTGATCGGTGATTTTGTGCCGTTTTGTGATTGTGATTTATGTTTATTTACTCAATTTGAATTCTTTTTTAGCAAACAGTTTACGCCGAGAAATGTCCCTTTAACCAAAGTTTCCCTATCCCTTATTTCTTGGTTTCATTATTATTCAATTTAAATTTTGCATCGTCTCATTCATCTGGGAATTAAAGTTGTCCGAACCAAACCAGTTCCGATTTAAAGCATCTGGTTGTGGGGATTCTCTTCTTCCATCCTTTTCAATAGCAACCCTTTGTTTGGGCTTTTCTCTAAATATGCCCTTGCAGAGGGCCCTTAGTGGGGGGTTTTAATTATAGATTTTAATGAAGTCACGAAGGTTTGTCTGCTTGGAAAGTGAGTAGTGGGTTTTGGGTATTGATTAAAATATTCAAGGGATTTTATTTGTGGGGTTTTTGAGCCACATATATGGGTCGCTTTTGAAGATATTTTTACTTTTAATAATAATAAATTTAGCAATTTGCATCTTTTCACTTAGAAAAATTATTACATTTAATTTTTAAAATGTTTTTAATTTATTAAAGTTTCCCCTAAAATTCTCTCGCCGTTCTGCAGGGGCGTTAAAGCCCTCGGCAGACTCCGAGGATATTTTTCATTCATTGCAATTTGGATTGAGAGATTTCATGACCATCTTGTTCCCTCTCATACCTCCCCTTTTCCCAAGACCTACTAACTTATACTCTGTGTTTAAAAACTAGTTTATTGTGCAAAGTATATTAATCGTTTTCCCCATTTTCATGTGCGCTATAGACGCAAGTTTCTGTGAATCGTATAAACAAGTTCCTGAACAGTGAGGAACTGGACCCTAACAGCGTTCACCATGATCCGTCCAAACGTAAGAAACACCATTTATTTATAATAATTTATATAAACTATGGATTTCATTATATCCCAGCCCATCCTATGACCATTGAAAATGGCGAATTCTCCTGGGGCGACGAGATCACTCTGCGTAAC